GGATGGTCATACTATGCCAGTTCCCTTCCTCTGGCATCTCTCCATTAGTGCATGTCCATAGCACCCTGTTTATGCATGTGTATATTTCAGCCTATGCGAGTGTTGCATGACATACAGAGTGTAAGAACAGAAATTTCCCCTTGCGGGGATCAATAGAGTAAATCTTAATCTTAATCTTAATCATTACTAAGATCTGTTCTTGATACTAATATGATGCCAACATCTGGCCATGAGGAAGAGGAGGACAAGACTCCCAATTCAACTGCTGAGACCTTTTCCTTCTTTAATACAGCCCTTGGATCAACATGGTGAATAATGCAAAAACAGTTGAGGCTTTTGGAACTGGCACTTCGTATTTGAAACACTGGACAATACTGGTTTATAGTGTAGGAACATATTTAAGATTAAAAAAACAAGATAGGGCATGGAAAAGAGAACATCTTTATGATCAAGATATTCTAAAAACACAAAACAAGCCCATTTTTTCAGGCAACCCATATTCTGCACCATGCTTTGGGATAGCAAGGCTATATTGGAGTATACTGAATGGTGTTGTGGTGCCTGGAGAAGTGGGTAAACTCTTAATTTATGCCCCAAATGTTTTTTCAAAGCGACCCATCCAGTATAGGAGAATCACCCTGTGTTATAATCACTGACACGCCTCCTTCATAATTAGTTCACCTAATAATGGGCCTTAAGTGTTTGAACATTGTCAGTTAAGTTCTGCTATATGACTGAAGATCATTATGAAATCAACATTAGCCATGGAAGAGGTGTAGATTTTGAAATCAACACTGTCACACACAGACTACATGATATCAATATTTTGTTGTGTAATTATCCAACAGGGCAGGCAGGTACAGTGCAGGTGACATTTTGTTTTTATCTAGTGAGGGAACTTCCAGATTTGGTCCCCACCAGGACTAGAACTGGCGACCCTCCGGTTCCCAGACCAAATCCCTACAGACTGAGCTACTGCTGCCCAATGTTGATGAGCTATGCAGTCATGACATTGAGTATAGCAGTCATGGCGTAGATCTGCTTATCTTCAAAACTGGCAGCATGCAAAGCAGGATATGTGAGGTTAGCCATTACCATTTCTTGGTTATAGAGACTTATTGGGTCCAACTCCCATCATTCTTAAAAAAACAAAATCAACCATCACTCCATCTTCTTGGTTTGCTCTATGGTGCTCACCAAATGGAGGCCTTACAGTCAAAACATTTGCACCGGCTGCTGCTGTGTGCTTAAAATGGGAATTGGAGAAGAGGACGAAGAGGACAGTGTGGTGGGTTTCTGGATCTGGATATTTTTGGAACTGAAATTCCTGCAGGGACTGAGATAGTCTAAAGATGGCAGCCCCCCTGCCCACCGAACCACTTTACTCTTTGAAAAACGAAGGGTCAAGTCAGCTGAGAATAGAAGAGACACTTCTGGGGTTGATTTAAAATACACAAATTATTGTAAATACTAAGTAAAAATCTAATATTGCAGTAGTCTGAAGGAACTAATAAGTGGTACTGGTTTGCTAGTTTTAAGCTTAACACACATTTTGTTGCATTATAACTTTGAAACAAATTTAAGCCAGTGTGGTGTAAGTGTCTAACTCAAATGAGAGCAGGAAAGGGGGAGCACCAATGACTTTGCATGTTGGCATGCAATATTAGATCTCCATTTCCGGCCATATCTTACCAGTGTCCTTACATAAGCAGCAACAACAGGTGTCAGCCATAGTTAGACAGCTAAGCCCAGAAGAGGCTTGGTGTACATGCTACCAATGCAGTCGAGCCGTTTCCCTTAAAGTGTGTGTGTGAGTGTGTTTATGAGTGTAGGGTTTGTTTCATGTTGTGCCCACTGCTTGTTGCATGTAGAGCTATTGCCTCAGCGGCCCCTCGTCAGGCGCCACTTCATGCACTATATTTGAACCCCCTTTCCTCAGTCCTCCCAAAGGGCCTTTGGATCAAGGTTTTCTACAGTATGTATGACTCTTGGGTGAGTAGCTCCAGCCAACAGGATGTGATGGCAGGCCCAGAATGCAACAGGAATCCGGCGTCCATGTTTGCTTTCCCTGAGCCTGCATGCATAGAAGGTCTTAGCTTACCCTTTAGGGAGTGGATAACAACTGCAGGAATGACTGGACCAGCCATGCCCTGCTGTAACTGAGACTTCATGACGTGGAAACCATCTCATAACACAGAATTCCAAATTCACAAGATAGAAGGTGCTTATAGTGTGTGACAAATTAGGTAGCGCTTGTTAGTTTTAGATTAACAGTCTCTGAGATTTTAGTACCTCTGGTGAGTCACAGTTGTGCTTTAAATAATGACCACAGCGAGCAACAGTTTGTTGTTCATCTGATCTATGCTTTTGCAATACAGACACATAAAGGCTTATTCAACAAAGTTAAAGAGCCCATATTATGCCCTTTTTGGGGTTCGTATATTCAATCTATGTACCTACTTTTGTACGTTCACAATAGCTAAAGTCTGAAAAAAGTGTCTGTTTTCATGTACTGCTCCTCCTTGCTCCCTCTACGCTCTGAGTCTGTCAGCTACGCTCTGCTGAGCCCCCACTGTTAGACCTCACGTGGGCCAAGTCTGCTCTGATTGGTCTGCCGATCCGCTCTGTCCTTATTGGTCAGTTGCTCAGCACGCTTCTCGGAAATTTCAACATGAGCTGCAGGGCTTGCCACAATGAGCCAACAGGCTTAGATGAGTGATCTCACACTGATAATGATGTTGGACTAACAAATTTTTATCGAGGGGGGCTAGAACCGAGCGTTACATGCAGCTAATGCTACAGCTAACAGGAGGACGTAGGAGAAGCTGCGTTCCCGCGGACTTGGAATTTTTGCACATAGATGTGCCTAAACATGCACAGGACACAAGGAAAACACACTAAAGGGCAAATAAAACCAGAAAAAGGATAATATGGGACCTTTCAAGAATGGTACATTGTCTTCCAACATTGAATACTGGAATGTTTGGGAAATTTGCATCAAGCTAGGGGAATTTGACTGCAAGTGAAATTGAATGTCATGAAAATTACAAGTATTATTAACTAAATGTTGAATAATTGTATCTTATTTAACAAAGAAATGTGTTTTTTTATTTCTAGTAACTTCTTTAAAATGTGTCCTAACTTTTTAAAGTGGATATCCCTTTAAGACTCAGGAGACATAGATAGCCCACTGCATGAAGGAAAAGGGACAGTGGCAGTTTGGTGTTCTGAAAACAAGAGAAACAAATGAAGACTCTGAAACATAAAACACATTTTTGTGGACTCAAGGGTATGACCTTTGCAGTGGAAGTAAAGGAAGGTCAGTTACTTTCAGAAACGTGACGGCCATCCCAACTTTGTGTTTGAGCTGTGCAACCTGAATTAAAAACATCCAACTTGACCTCCAGGATACACAATTCTTAACCCCTTATCCATTCCTGCTCTCAACAAGCTCTTATGTTTGAATGTCCATAAAATTTGTTCTTCTCCCCTCAAAATGTCTCATGTCTTCATCCCAACCAATTTTCATTTTACAAAGAACAAAGTCAACAAATGAAACAGATAGCAGGCTTCCAGGCTGTGGAGCAGATAGAATTACCATCGAGAAAAACACAAGGATTTGTTCTGACATTTCACAGAGCATATTTGTCATGAGTGATTTTCCCTACCTTGCTGTGATTGACGTCATAACACCTTTAGTCGCCCCTGATACCATTCAGCAGTAATTGATTTTGTCAGATGACTCCCGTATCTATGTGCTTGTGATAAGGTCATGGCGGAGCATGATCCTGTTTGTGAAAGGTCTATTTAATGGGGCTGTGAGAGTCTTAGGCTGCCTGTCCCTCTCGTATGCTTTTCATGACAGTTTTTGAGCTATAGTGAAGACTTTTAATAAGGTCCTGCTTTCTGGAGAAACCAATAAAACAGAGCTATTCAATAAATTCACTTGACATATTAGTCTCATTGTCTTATCGAAGATTTCTCTCAGAGGAAGGATTCAACCGAAGATGATAGTAGAACTGTTTATGAACAAGTAGTTTTACTTGTTATATCAGTAATTATCCTTTACGGCCAATATCAGTCACAATTTCTACGGTTTGTTGTTGAGGTAATGGGCATCCATAATTGAAAATGAAACTTTCATCCATCGCTAGTATTTTCCATTGAAAAAAAACAAAAATAATGAAGGTCATGAGTAGATGTTGGTGTATTTGTTGCATTGAAGGTGTCACAAAAAGACAGAAGCAGCTGAAGAAAAGACATAAAAAGTCAAACAGGCAGATGATCTGGTATTAGAGAGACAAGTAGATCTTGCTCAGGCTGTGTACAGACCGACAGCAGCACTGCTCCTTGGGAGTTCAAGCATATGACTGAATGAAAAAGGTCTCGCTGCTCAGGCCAAGAGTCTTGCATTCATGTGGACTGGGTGTGGTGGAAAGTCTTAGAGGGATGATGCTGCTCAGCAGCTACACATGATGATGTTTGATCTGGCTACTCCCTCGCTTTCTCTCTCCTTCCATCCATCCCAGGACTGATTGGTAGGCAGACTATTCCCAACTCTGCCAGGGTACTGAAATGTTTTTAAATTTCAGGGCTCCCTGTGGCAGTCCCAGGGGATCACACATGGAGCTACTGAGAAGTATGATGATCGAGCGAGAGCCCTGAAACTGATACTGTGGTTTATACTTCAATGATTGGACATGACGTGAAAGCTAGTCTAGACTGGCTGTGGCGGAGATATAAGAAATGTCATGCTTTAAAGATATTTTTTTTTTTTAAGGGGGGAAAGTTTACATATTTGTTATCCTAAAAAATACATAGTCTGCAGGGTAAAGTTCTATAGTGCTTTCAGGAATTCAGTGCTCATTTTAGCTCCACACAGGCCTGTTTATGGTATAACTGATCATAGACAGGGCATTTTAGTTATCCAAACTTTACTTATGTTATGTATGTTGTTACTAAAAACCTAAATTTGTCCTCTGTCTCTCTTTGTCTTACAGGACCTCCAGTAAGTAGACCTGACCCTTGTGTGATCTGCATGTGGTAAAGTAACTTTTGGCATTCTTTTTTGCTCTTTGGTGTGAAGTAAATGAATTTGGAAGTGTGCGCCAACATGTCTGATGCCAGTGATACTGGTATCAGCCACATAAAGCATTTAGTATAGCTGGTTTCACTGATCATTTATTTCTTTCTTTGAATAGATGGCAACAATATGTGTCATGAACAAATGTTTAGAATAAATTATATTCACCTGAACTCTGCTTCAGCGTTCCCACACTGAGGTAAACAAGAGCGAGTACAAAGCAAAGAAACTGAGCTCACTTGCTTACTGTGAATTTTCCAGACTATCACCTGCTGAGTTAACAGATCAGCTCACCTAGACTTCACACATGTCTTTGTACTAGAGGGAAGGCAGGAAAAAGTCTCGATAAAATCCAGGTCAACCGAGTCTGCCAATGGGGACAATTTGCTCGTGCACAATTTGCCAAGGAGTGTCATGCACGTGTATAAGGGGTTAAATTGGTGATGAGCAGTCGTAAGCACAAACACTACCAAGAGAAGGTTAAGGGTTAAAATCTGCTGTCCAGCTGATGTTTTTTTGTGTGGGTGTTGCATGTTCCCCCATGTCTACTTGAGTTTTTTCCTTAATTAGAGACTTTAAATTCCCTGTAGGTGTGACTGTGATTGAGTTTATGTCTTGTGATGCAATACAGCGACCTGTGTAAAGTCTTCCAGCCCACGTAGTGCAATAGACTTCAGTCTGAGGCAAATCTGCATATGATCAGCAAATTATAGGTTTGGTAAATGCATGCAAACAGTTGAAATCAAGCTTTTGGTTTAAATGGAAAACCTTCTCACTCCTGTGCCTTGATGGCACAAGGTTTAGGAACACTACTCCAAACATCTGGCCACTATGAGTTTGACTTTTGTACATCTGCGTCAGTGTTAAAATAACCCCTGCCAAATCTTCCTCCCTGGAAAGTTTGAGGGATAGCTCCTACAGAGGAAGGTCAAACAGCGAGGTGGATTTTCCAGCCTCACTAGACTTATACCTCCACAAGATCTGAGAGTTTTGGACTTCAAGACATGGTCAGATTTCACAGTCTCTTAATGTCCATCTTGCTTGACTTACAGTATGGCAAGCACCTTATCCTTTCTAAGCAGAGTAATTTAGGTTTTAAGCTATTTTCTCCCAAAAATATGCAGAATTATGCAAAAATATAGGTTAAAAAACTATTATTTGGCAAAATCCCTCTCAGAAAATGTCTCTTGTAAAAGTAGAAAAGAACAAATGAGAAAAAATCCGATGAGCTGCTAATCAGAGATTTTTAAAGAAAATGAAAGATACATTTTTAAGGGTAAAAAGACTTAATCTGCTTGAATCTGTAAGCTTGTAAATATCAAAATGAATGATAGTCTTACTGTAGTTTTAGAGTGATAAAGAACAGATGACTTGTGGAAAGAATTCATCCAAAAGTAATATCTCAACTAAGTACAGGTTACATTGAATATTTCTTATAAGATTGGCACAGTTTGACAGCCATTTAGCTTCCTGTTTTACAGATAAGGCTCATAAGCAAAATACATTGCCAGTATAAGATTATTTTATTGTTGTATGTTTTTGAAGCCTTATTAATGTCAACCAAACATGTCAGGGAACTTTATGCTTGGAGTACTTAAGGATAACAGCTGTTGTTCAACCCTTAAAAATACTAAGCATCTTCTGAGACATTTTTGCTGAGTTCACCTCTTAGACTTCATGGCAGCTTTGGTTATAATAGCAAAAGCCTGATTACATGTTTTCCTGCATGGTTCCGATGCCAACTTGCATTTTAAATGGTAGGAACACAGTATAAGATTACTGTTATATCTCAAGGCTAAAATATCATTTCAGAGATGTATTTATTTGAAATATAACCCAACAGAGCTGTAAAGTGTCGATGAATACGCTTTTTTGTTTATCCACTGAATTTAAAGATATTAAAGGACATGACTTTTCCCAGGTCAAATCACAAGGGCTCAGCCCTGTTGACCTTTAAATAGGTCTTATGCATGCAACACAGCTTTAAATAAACAAAGATGATGGATAACACAATCTGACTCTGATGAGGCAGAACAGGAAAACAGCAGGGGCACTTTTCAAAACACAGAACCACAATTTATCGAGTCAGATAAGAACAAATATTTAACCAAGCTTGGCTGAGGAGGTAACCTGATTCACTGACGATTAATGCTAATGTTTCTTTGTATTCAAGTTCAGAAAAAGGAGTAACACTGAAGTCAGACTCTGGGTAAAATAACACCAATAAGTATAGAGTAAATCAAACTTCTCCCCTATACATCAAACCTCACTTCTTATTGAGCATGTGCACCCAGGGGACCATACATCCCACGTAAAATGGCCAGATACCCCCCTCTCCCATCACCCCCTCCTTGCCCTCTCAGTCATTCAGCTGCACTTTGCCAAATGGGAGCCACATGTTGGAGGGTTACTGTGTAATTCAAGTGAAGGGTTCCTTCCGGCAGTGGGTGACCTCTGGCCCTTCAGACAGCCCCTGAAGACCCAGTAGCAAACTGGCAGGGAATTTGTTCACACTCAGCACCTGGCCATGCACCGCTATGCACTGCCAACCTTCTATGCGGTAGAAATATGTTTAACTAATGAGCCAATTAATAGCCACAGTGACCTGGAATCTTTAAAATGTAGCGCAAGTATAAATGGTTATCATATGAATCAGCATAATGTATCAAATTAAGAGTCAAGCTGGAAAATTGTGGTTTGGTTTCATAAATAAGTAAGGGACACCAACACATTGGCACTTGGACTTTCCAGCTGTTCCTTGTGGCTGCTGTATTGGTTTCCATTGGCTGTAATTGGATGAACAGTAACCTTAAAGTTATAAAAGAGATCGTCTTTACCAAACACACTGTAATGGTCAGAAACCACAAGAGCTCTAAAAGGGGATATAGTTACACCGTCAGAGTAAATGGATTGGGTTGTTCATATTCTGATTTTATTTTAAAGCACCGGTAAAAACCAGGTAATCAGTCATATCAAGCACACTTATCTTAGCAGATTGAAAAGAATAGAACTAACAATACATCATCAGGCAAATGGTGAGAAAAACCCAGGCTGGAAAGTTCAGCTGGATGTGAACTATACTGTACATCCTGGCAGGGAATGATTGGAATTGGGCAGATATAAAACCTCAAGTTTGAAAGGGGGAAATGGGAGGCAGGTGAGTCAATGGCCATGGAGGGTCAGGTGATGGAAATGGCTCAAAGGTTACTGCCAGCAAGGATTGCTACAGGGATTGTTTGGATTTGGCAGAATAAACAACCAACAGAAAGAATATGATAGCTGGCCAGCATTGTGACAGTTCACCACCAGGAGGCTGGAAAGATGGCTCTGAAATGTTTATCCATCCAATGTGAAGTGCTCCACTAAAGCTTGATGCTTTCATTCCACTTCCATTACAACCTCATGATGATGGCGACTCACAAAGGGGGACAGCAAGAAAAATGAAAGGATTGTTGCTTCCAGTGAGTTCACTGTTGATGGACATTTCCAAGTGCATCATCAAGCTCATACCATGGGGAACAACCAACCCTGTTTCCATGCATTCTGCCCAAATAACCCTAAAACTTCACATATGATCCATATACAGTACCTGGTAACACCTAAGAGATTGAGTAACACCTGTAAGAAGAAAAAAAGACCATCCCATTAGATTCTTAGACAATGTTGATCTTTACTGCAGTAAATAGAACAAATCCATTGTTGAAACAACAAGAAGTTTCACACTATTGTATTTAAGTTCTTAATCTTATCCTAGTCATTAAATTTGTAACGTTGTAAGAAGACAACTTGTTACCAGGGTACAATTATTTTAGAGGTCAAGAATTCATTCATACCCTAAAACCAATCAGAATTGAGTATTACCCAGACCCTCGTATAAGACATGTCATATTCATAGTGATGCAAATTACCTAGGTTTTTTTGCCATATTAGTATACTCACAAAATATTTTTGGCAGACAATTTATTTAATCAAATTTCATAATTTAAGCCACTCCATGTACGTCTCCAACGTATTCAATATCAATCAAACCCAATAAGCAAGAGCTCAAATGAATGTTTGACATATCTTCCATCCAGGATTACGGCTGCTCTCAGCCAGCAATCACCCACGTACACACATTAGCTCTCTCTCTCTCTCTCTCTCACTGGAGTCCTCAGGGTAGGATATTGATGACATGCCAGCATTCAAGAGCCGGCAGTTATCATTCTCCTCTGTGAAGCATCAATGCCTCAGTAGGTTTTTTAAAATGTCAAGAGTTCCTGTTTTGACTTCCTGCTAATTAGCGCTCCATCCTTTACTTAAGAGCTGCTATGTTGTATTCTACTCAATGACAAAACATACTTGACTTTGGACAATATGCTTCTTCTTGGACATTACCGAAAGCCCTTGTGTTCTTGCTCCTCTTGTGATTTGTGTCTGAAGGAGGCCGACATCCTGAAATGTTGTCATATCCGCATTAGCATGCTATTCAAGGTTAGGAATTGTAAAAGAGTTTGTTGTAACTTAAGAACTTTCAGCATGTGATTTCCCAAAACCAATCTTTGCACGAGTCTGTGTAGTGAACTGTAGAAACTGTTTGTCCTTTGTGTTCAGCAAAAAGTGTGTTGTTTGAAATTATACTTCACTCAATGCCTGTGAAATGTATTGAAAGATGCATGCTACTGCAATGACAATGTTCTGTCTGTTTGCTGTCAATGAGGCCATATTTGTATAAAATAGTACCTTCTCATAGTTTTTAAATTTGATTCGAGCCTTGTTCAGATATCTTTCATTATGTGTAAAATCTACTTTCTTTTTGTACCAATTTTCTCTCACCCCTTTTTCAGGGTCCTCCTGGACGATCAGGCTTTCCGGTAACTTTCTTTTAAACTTGTGTCTTTGTGTCTTCTCTGTATAGCCTTCGCATGTTTAGATATTGACCACTGCAGTATTGATCTCTCTGCCTGTACTCTCCTGGGAAGGTCTTGTCTTTTTTCTGGATATTTGGATTAACTTACAAAAAACCCTTCATAAAATCAATAAAAGCCATACAAATATTTACACCTTATCATACATTTAACATACCAGCCCATTCTCACTCCCTGCTCTTCAAATTTGGCCACCAACAGGGAACCAGTGGCCGAGTGGTTAGTTTGCACGCCCCACGTACAAAGGCTATAGTCCTAAAAGCAGGCAGCTCATGTTTGAATACGACATGTGGCTCCTTTCTCACATGTCATTCTATATCCACTGTCCTCCATGTCTCTAAAATAAAGGTTCACAAAGCCCAAAAATATATCTTTAAAAAAAATTGGCTATTACTTTTCAAATAAAATGTTGTAAGTAGCCATCCAGTCAGGCAGCCAGCTAGCCGAAACACAGAAATATATTGTATTGACTGATTTTTTTTTAAACAGCTGAACATATTTTACAAACTATCAGAGCCTATTTTAGAACTCCAATATGTGTCCAATACATCCATTCATTATCTACACTGCTTTTATTTGGGATTGGTGCTTCCAGTTGACAAGAGGCGGATCACACCCTGGACAGGTCGCAAGTCGATGACAAGTCTGACACCGAAAAACAACCATTCAAGGGTGGATGTAATATTGAGATGCATTTAGTTACAAATTGTCAAATAATCTAGTTCAATAATATATTTTATGCTCACTTGTCAGTTGAGTAACGTCAGAAATGTCAGTACTGCTGTGGACCTGGGTGCTTACAGCTTTAACAATTCCTATTGATAACACTTTTAAACTGTTGGCTGGATAAGTTTATGCCTCCTTATTATTTTTTTTTTCATTAAAACCCACTCTATATTTTGCTACACTTTGAATGTAAAGCTTTTATAATCTCTCGTAAAAGTACTGCTTCTGTTTTATTGTCCTCTCCTGTCTTTAGTCTAACACTCACCTCCTCTTTCGGCTGAACCAACATGTCAAACCCACATGGTTCCAATCCCGACAGCAGGTGGCCATCTAATAACTGACCTCTGTCCTGGTTCACACTTACAACCAGCAAACTCCCCATTTTGTTCTGACAAGCACACTGGTGTAACTGGTCCATAGAAAAAGCCAAAAGCAGAAACTGGCCCCATGCTTTGTTCCATTGCTTGGGTTTTGCTGACATTTTGTGTCAAAGCGAGGATGGTATTGCTTCCAGGATTTGTGATTGATTACAGCTGTCACGCAGCGGGAAATTGAGTCAGGAGCGGCCTTTGACTGAATGAGGGCGGAAGGCTGTGGTTTTTAGAAAGAGGACCTGTAAGAATTGAAAATGAGGGAGTCGTGTTTTCCATAGAATGTGGTTGTTTAGGAATGTGACATATGTAGGTCTTTATAACCAATGGAGGTAGACAGTGATATGATGGATGAATCATAAATGCACTGCTCCCTTCGCACCTCACACCCATGCAAATACACACACACACACACACACACACACACATGTGCAAAAACACAAAATACATTTCAATCCATGCAGGTAGACCCAGCTAACAGTTTACAGATTTTAGAATGATTCCTGCTAACCTCTTGGCTGCTAACATGCACTTAAAGAATGAATTACTCGCTCATAATTAATTCAAACTGACATTAGATAAGTACCTTTATCTACTCCACTGCAAAACAATATGAAAACAAATATGGTTGTATGGGTGTCTATTTTCCAAAGCATACCAAAACTAGTGGTGAGTAGACTTGTTTGACTGGTTGGATGTGTATGTGTGAGCATGTGAGTTTGGACTGAGTCTATGGTCCAGCTGAGGCTCATTCCTCCTCAGACACCTCAAACTTGAAATACTAAAGATTGGCATAAATCCTTTTGAAACGAACTACCAAGGTCCTACTAAGTCTGAAAACCACAAGAAAGAGTGACAGGTGGCATTTGGAAGTTGGACAATAGTTTGTGTGTAAGTGTATATTATTTGTGAGCAGGGGCTGGGTACATCTCTAACAGCCTATCTTTCCAGGCATAGAAGAAAATTAGACAGATTCTAGGGACAAACAGCAGCAGGAGTAGTGCAGCAGCGATAAGGTTTCTTTTGAATATAATGCAACACAGGTCCTGAATGAGGTTTTATAGAACTCTCTATTTGTCTCATGGCTATAAAACCTCCTGAAGTGAAGGTTGTGTTTTGTGGTTACAGTAAATAGTCATGTAAGAAGCTGTGTTAAGCCCCCAGCTCTCTATTAAAACCATTTTTGGTGGTGCCAGTCTCTCCCCAAGGCCTCGGTATAAATCAGGACCTTGGACAGGGCTTCAAAGAGGCCAGCTGTAGCCGGATATTTAGAGGCTTTCAAAAATATGTGTGCCTCATACTAATAACAGAGATACTAGCACATCTGATATACCAACACTGAAAACATCTAAATATACAGTATGTCAAGACTTGGTCTAAAGCACATGAGATGAGAGGGACTCTGTCTGATTGAAAGGTGAAAGGTGGCACTGACTGGTATTTTCCTGTTTTTGACATGGTGAATTTTGACATCATGACTATGCGTCAACACAAACCCTTAGTTTGGCACAACTGGATATATAGCTTTTGAATAAGTTATTTTACATTTGACTCAGACATCATGTGAAAGGTTACCACCAGAGATGTACTAGTGGGGGGATGTACTAAATTATGGTACCTCATGAGTGCATCAACTGGTATTTATGGAGATTTTCCATTTCAAAGAGTAAAGATGGTCATTACCATAGGGGTGCAAAAGTGATATGGGTATCAGAACAGCAGTTGGTGACAAGTACAGTAAAACACAACAAACACTCAGAATCAGTGACAAAAACCACTGAACACTCTAATATAATATTGTCCGTGTAATGATGAATATTACAGTCTGTTATAGACAAAACAATATTGTTAATGTAGATTGTAAATAAGATAGGGCCCAGAACTTACCCCTGTGGAACACCTAAATGACAGAAACTCAGATTAAATGGTTCCAGCATTTACACACTGTAATCTATCAGAGAGGTAGTTCTAGAACCATTTACAAGTGCTGGTATCAAACCCAACGTTACACAGTGTCTGAAAGAGACATGATCAATTGTATCAAATACTTTTTGTACATGTCAATTATTAACAACTCAAGTGACAGCATAGGCAGTACTGTGCATATATCTGAAGTCAGACTGATGAGGGCTTAAGACAGAAACATTTATTGAAATATTTGTATTTGATCATTTGCCAGTGATTCCAGGATTTTTGACAGACATGGCAATTTGAACATTTGTATTACGTATTTTTGAAAACACACAATTATGTAGTTGTAAAAATGACAAAATGGACACATATTTATTAAGTTATGGAGCAGGGCCTTAAGTCGATGTATCAAAGTAACATTTTGGCAATCAATACATCTTTATTTGAATAGCTCCAATTCATAAGAAATGTAATCTATAGACACTAATCTAAAGAGCAGGTTTGTTATACTATTTACAAAGATCCAACATTCATCTACCATGAGCACATCACTACACAACATTTAGCAAAGATACAGTGGCAAGGAAAAACTGCCTTTTAACAGGAAGAAACCTGGAGCAGAACCAGACTTATGTTAAACAGCCATCTGTTGAAAATGTGTTGGGGTTGGAAAGTGGGATAGAGGGATAGAGGGAGATGCAGAAAGAAAGAGACACATGGTATTGACAAATCATTTGCCTTAAATGAGTAACTGACATTTAACTCCAAACCTCTCATATTCAACAGGGCTCTTGAGTTGGGCATGACTACATCCTGTGTTTTGATAGTGTGGTAGAATGCTTGATTTTTAACGTCATTATAGGGCATGGCATGGTTTACCGACTAATCCCAATACAATTATTCTTCCTTAAATGGATACCATCGCTTTGAGACTTAAAAACAGTAACACACAGTAATTTTAAAAACAACGGTAGTAATGAAAAGCTTATCTTTTTCTTTAAAAGTCAAATTTGATTTAATTAGATTGTATTTAAGTAGATGTCATTTGATTCGTGTGGTACTAAAAGAATAACTAGCCTTTAAGTTTACATGACAAGGTATCCCTTTAAGAGTTCATTTCAGTCTAACCTAATCATTGACCCTTGTTCCTTCTGAATCTGCATTGGTCAATAGGGTGACAAAGGCAGTATGGGAATTCCTGGGAGAATGGTGAGTGACTAAGGGTTTGTGCATCATGCACTTAAGTAGCTGTATTCATTATGACTTTGCTGAAGCAATATATATGTTCTTAGGGAGGTATGAGATATATATTTATTCTTTATATGCATTCTTTTCCTAAAGATTGTATACACCAATTTGCACACACTATAAATAATGATGTGGGCGCTTCAGGGGCCTTTAATCAATAACTCATTAATGATAAGAACATCGTAAGTGTAGCATTACCCTCTTTGACCATTTTACACAGCCAGGCTTCTATTAAATGCCATAGAGTTATTGATATTGCAAATTATATGAAAAATATGCACAGTATTAATTATCTGATTGATGCATATATCAATGGACTACAACTATGATGTCTACTATAGACATTTTAACAGTGTATTGAATTATAGGCAGTTCAAGTATTTTAACCTTTTCAATCCTGTTTCTGTCACTACATTATAACTAATCACATATTTAAATCCAAACAGAGGTAACACACAATTATGTATTTGAGACTATTACTGACAATATTTCAGGGAATACCCAATTAATCATTCATTAATCAATGGTTTAACCTGATTCTTTTATCTTGTTTTAACACACATTCCATCATTTTTTCTGCAAGATATAACAGATATCCTTGAATTACCTTTAAGCTGTCTGTGGACTTGAACATGTTTTAAAGCTCCATACAATTGCTGCCCCTAGAGGTAGTGAAAGAAAAGTCTTGGAATTCATTTTGTCAGTCTGTTAGTTGTGTGTTAATGACTTAAAGGGATACTTCACCCATTTGCTTTAAGCTTTGTATCATTAGAAACCTATTAGTATTTTTGAATGGTCGTGCATCCCGCTATCATTTTCCCCTGAGATGGGAAATCTTTGTATTTTTAAGTCTGAAAAGGAGCTTCCGATGACGCAAAAATCGTCATTTTGCATCATTGGAAGCTGTTGCGCTTAACGGGGTGAAACTACAACGGTAGTTCCTCGTATTTTCAACCACTGAAGCTACAGACCAATCACAGATCAGTGGGTGGGAACTCACTCCCAGAATCGCAACTTAACGTCCGCCATATTGCTTGGAAGCTATGCAAACAGGTTCTATGGAGAAAGCTGATAATGGCGAGAAAATATAAATACAGCAGCGAGATGGCTGCTGCCGACAAGCCGGTCTTGTGTGTTAGCTGATGCCGCCGCTGGCCGCAGGGGCCACCGCTGGCTATATTGCTATATTGCTGGCTCAGCAGCCGAGACATAAGGTCTGCTTGTCGGCTGCGGTGAGGACGAGGAGCCGGAGCCGGCTCGAGCTGGGGCGGACTGGTGGTGTTGGTGCTCTCACTGTTTGCCTATGGACACAGACATAGAGTCTGTTTTCTGCCAGGAATTTCCAAGATGCCAATTCCTTCTGGAAGAAACCTCGGAATCAGCTGAGGAAACAGCCGTATGTGTTGAAGTAAATATGTCTGTAAACCTGACCTTAGTGGGATTGGCCTGCGGTGCTGTGCATTCTGGGATTTGGTGCCAAAAAGACACTTTTTGCCTTTTCTCGGCCAAGAAGGCACCAACTTCAAAATTTATTTCACATTTCTACTACGTATATGACCCAATGTCAATACAGATTCATGTTTCAACGGGTGAAGTATCCCTTTAAGAACAGATGAAAAAAGGTTTATACCAGCATTTCCTCTGTTGAAATATGGGGGATCTTTTGTACCAGTATTATATTTCCTCTTCTTATTGTTTGTTTTATAATTCCTTTTTTTGCTTTCTCATGTTTTTTGACTCATGAACACATTATGTAAAACATTTTTTATCAGACTCACAAAATGGATCTCAATATTTTTTTTCCCCTGGCCTGTCAAGGCATCTGTACCATACAGCAGGTGTGCAACAGAGTGAGAGTGTAAATGACTGATCTACAGTATATACGGGACATGTTTCAAGACTATAAATTCAGTACAGAAAATCATAAGACTTCTCTGCTGCTGCCATACAGCTGTCACATGTTAATAATATATTATTTTGCTGTGTAATATATGTGAGGCAGCTTGTGTTTGATGGTCATTTCAGCCCACCCAGTCTGTAGTTCAAAGTGTAACCACTTGCTGCTATTCTACTTTGGTAATACAGTCATTACGGCCTGTAATGTAAAGGGTTAACCACAAAAGTAATTTGATAAGTTTTTAGGATTTCTTATATGGCCATATTTCAAGTACTCAATTCCACTTAACATTCATTTACAATGTTTTCCCTTAGCTTTTTCACCACCTCCCCATCACTAGTCCTGAGGATACTGCATGACCCGAACCCTCTCCATGTCTCTAACACTGGTTCCTCTCTCTCTCTTATGTCTTTCTCCTCTTCACACCTTTTTGCATGCGACTGTGTCTGCTGTGACTGATCCCAGGGCTTAAAAGGACAAGCAGGGGAGAAGGTAAGTTTAGGAGCATGTGTAAAATAGGAACAGTTATTTAATTTTTTTTTAAAAGCAGCAGACAAAATTCACAATGTCCTAAAATGTTCTGGCTGAAGTTTGGTGTTGTTTGGTCATCTATGGTTGACTATGTATGCATCCGACCAAGTAGGATGATTAGGAGATAAATTGTGAAGTATAAACTAGCTGTCATTTCAGTCTTTCTTAAATTGTAACTTTGTGGGTGGTGGTTCAGGTTGGAAGTACCATGCTGTGCTGTGTACTGTGTGTACAGGTAGCATGTGATTTATATCAGGGACACAGGTCTGTATTTTAAAAAAGTATCAGGGTCACATTCTGTAAATGGTTTCCCACCCTGGTTGGATTACCTGAACTTTTACACCGTGAAACACAATCGTAACAATTTGTCATTCAAACGTCTGAAAGTTCTAATTTAAGACTCCCCAAAGAAAGTGCAGAGACATTTATGGAGGCCACAGCAGAGAACATGAGGAGATTCTCAAAGAGTCCTTAGAATGAATAGAGTTATACATCGATATAAATAAATATTGTTACTGGTGTGTTGTGTAACAGTTAAATCCTAGCTCTCTGTCATGTTGAAGTTTGAATAAATACGAGCTGCCAGCTGGGACAAAAAAGATTTATATTTGCCTCAAGGTGGAAATTACATGTTAGACAAATTTTTACTGGAGGCTCTGAATTTTCCCACTCGGCTTCATGAATTGCAGAAGTGTGTCAACAGAGACGGTAATCATTCAGTCAATCTGCCAACGTCAGCCTTACAGGAACTTATAAATCAAAATAATCATTTTTATTCACATCACTAAAATGAATTCTACCCATAAAAGAGGAAGCGGTGTCTGCTGAGGTTTAGTCAAGGTTGAATATAAGTTCATCAGTGAAAATACACTCAGACCTGGAGGTTTCATCAAGATAAATGAAGAGCTGTGTACTCGTTAAATTTTAACTACTCAGAGTTCTTGATGAAGCTCAATGTACCAATGCTTTTTTAGTGGGTCCCTGTTATTTAATGTTCATGTTATTATTTTTATTTGTACCCATAAAAGGACAATTTGCAAATGGTTTTGTCAGGGAAGGCAATTTTTTTAGTTTAACTTTTTAACACATCTGTGTTCCTGAACTCTGCAATATCATTTAGCTCTCTTTTTTATATTAAAATGTCCAGCCATAGCATCTGCTCAGAACAAAAAAAGTAATATTGACTAATGAAACAGGATTTATCTTAGTGGACACCAAATGATAGCAAAAAGAAGAAATATTGTACTTAGTACCCTTGCCAGAAACACAATTCCAAAGCATAGGTAATGTTTTATGTGCATGTAAGACTTGTACAGCAGCAAAGCTTACACCTTCCCCATAACAACCTAGCCTGTATTTAACATATTTCTCTGCTTAAGGTGTGAAAAAAAGATAAATTCAGTTTTAATGAGAAATCTCTTGTTCCAGGTCAACATTTTGCAAATCAATGTGCATGTTGGATTGGAAGCCAATTCAAAATTGCTACACATTTGCCAAAACAATCATCATTTCCTATATACAGTATCAGCCTTGTCATAGTCAGAGGCATCTGATTTACAGATTTGTTTTTCGTCAAATTCAACGTGATTTGTCACATCTAGGTCCAAAATCTTGACAGTCATACCACAATGACATATTTGTTTGTCAGCCAAACACTTTTAATATGATCATTCATAACTAAAGTTGTTATAACCTCTGCCTGACTTGTAAGGGAACAGAAATAGTAACCTGACCACCAAGGCAGTAAACGGAGAAGCAGACAACTTAGCGGCGGATATTTGGATCACTCTTCCAACCCCTATCCAAAATAATCTACAGACTTCCTTTTTATTTCTAGGCAGGGAACATATTGTAACAGTGTAATTGGGATTTGGCCCACACTGTCTCACAGTAGCTGCCAGGACAGAAGGGGATGAAGAAATCCAGGATTTACACTCTGCAGTACTTGGCTGTAGATCATCTCTTACAAGGAAGTGTCTCCTCAGACAAAGAGGAGTAGGGCAGACTTATGATAAGTAAATTGAAATAAAAAATAAAAAGTGAAAGTTACCTTTTCCAGACACTGCACTCTCGAACAAAAGGCTTTTGTGGGTTCTGTGGGAAAGGGTTTTGGGCAAGAGACTGGCAAGGCTGGAAGGAAAAACAGTCAGACATGATGGATTGGTTAAGGGGGAAAAAAGCCACTAACCAACCACCATAGAAGATGAACACTTACCTTGAGAAAAGTTAATTTAGGAGGAAATGAGATCTACATAGTTTTGTCTGCTTGTTATTCCACATAATTTAGTGGTGCATGTGTGTGCATTTGCTCAGATTGGGTCCTGGTTTAAGATGTGATTCTAAAGTTTTCCTTGTTACCTTGACCTCTTAAAACCGGAGTAATCCAATCTCTGCAGGAGTGTATCTGCAGATCTTTACTTGTCTGATGCAGTAAACCTGTAGAAAACCAAAGAAGAAACTGAAAACTGCTTCAGTTGACGTGAACCATTTTTCTGCCTGTACCTTTGCCTTCTGGCCCCTAAGTGATTTGTCTGTCATCAAACCAAGAATAGGAAAACAAACTTTTGGCCTCCTAAAGTAAGCATTTGTTCAGAAATATTTAGAATGGCCTTTGTCTTTGATGGATGGCCGTTACTTTCAGACATGGACAGGCCATAGGGTGCTGGTTTAGCTTAGGTGGTAGAGGGAACCCAATGTACAGGGACTACTTTCCTTGTCACACTGGATCCCAGTCCTGAAGTATTTCTGTTTTTTCTCATTCCTTACTCTCTCTCCACACATTTGTTTAATTCCTTTCAGCCTCAGGGCTCCCTACATATTAATTTATATCTTATTGGCTTAGCTTTATGCTGCCACTGGGCTTTGTGGAATTGGACTGGGCAAGTTTTGCTTTCATACATAGACAAGTTTATTTTCAGATGCAGACAGTACATAAAAACTGTAACAGGCTTATTTCTGAACCTATTTAATTTATGGTTTTGTTGAGTACATGAAACTTGTTGATAAGACAATGACGTGAGGGGTCTCAAGGTGTTATTACATTAAGACAGACAAAAGAACAATGATCAAAGCTGATGCAACTGTGGCAGAGATATCTTTGAATGGGTTCATCTCTATAAAGTTTTTACTAATTATCATGCACCATAAAGCTTCTTTTGAATCTATGCTCACCGTTTTTCAAACATGATCAGTGTGTGGCCCAAGTTTATAAATTTGTAGTGCATAAGATGAGATTTACCTCAGTACTAGCTCTCGCATTATTAAGAGTTACATTGGTTGAGTGCCCTTTTGTCAATTGTTCCAAGCTAGATTTTTTTGCAATAAAAGTCGTCTTCTCTTGGAGAGCCATTATGACAGAAAAGCTTTAGCAAGTTCAAGATTGGCTAGCATGTTAGCAGATAACTTGCTAGCTTCAACTAACCCTACAAACAGTTTTATCAATATACTTTGAAACTTTCTACTGTTACCAGAGCTTTGCATTTCTGTGAATGTCCTCCACAGCTGTGTGAAAGGAGGTATTAATTGGTTGGAATAAGACTATTTGTGTGTTAAACACATGCTAGTGGCTGGATGTGGCCCTGCTAAAGCTAGATATCTTCTGAGGACTGCTACAATGTGTTGACCTTGTGTTGTATTATAAATAGGGGAAAACCATGGGAAACACCCTTTTCATCTTATCCCTTTGTTCTGCTTTCTTCCTCTGTTTCTATCTGTCTAAAGGGAGCGCCAGGCGAGCCAGGTCTGTCTATCATTGGACCAAGAGGACCTCCTGTAAGTTTCTGCACCTCTCCCTTCACCTAATAAACATCTTAGCTTAATGCCAAGCTGTTTTATTAGCTACTTACCCATTATAGTAGACCTCTGCTTAACACATTAGGATTTAAGATGGCTTCAAGTTCTGTTGATTAAACCAGACAATTGAAGATATTTGCTTTTTCTGCCTTGTGGGTTACTGGGCTTTGGTGGATGTTAGTGTAGCAACACTATCTTTAATCAAAGCTGTGTGAATGCACCATATATAATAGAAATATGCTATATAATAGCAGCTTGTGTGGAAACAGCTGCATTGTTCACGATTCTTGAAACTGTGGTTTAGTCAAAAAAATGGGTCATTAGTCACACTTGTTTTATCAGGAATCTAAGAAAAAAGACTCCATTCTGGTCCAAATGTGGTGAGTGTTTGTTATCCAGACACCAGGTCTCAGTCTTAATGGATGAACCCAAATTCTTGGGAGGCCTGATAAGTTTAGTGCGTCTTTTTCTTCTCCTTTTTCAGTTTTCGGGAAAACAATGTCGCCTCTCAAGTTGCATAATATGCCTTTAAAAAGTGGCACAGCCATGAGTCTAGCAGACATAAGTGGTGTCTACATCTGTTTTTGTAATTGAGGGTTATTACAATCTTTACCCGTATGCCCACTCTTCCTGGATGGTAATAGGCATTTCTGATGAATAACAGGCTGTGGAGGAATCTCTATACAGGAGGAGCCAAGTCTTGAACTTAGAAGTCCAGTCAGTCAGAAACACTTAGAAGTTAGTTTACCACAGCAGGTGAGATTGCCATAAGAGACTCTAGCCATGACCTTAGATGGAACAAGGGAGTTGATTCAAGAGAGAGGTGAGAACTAGAGGAAATGACAGCTTAGGCGAGCCAAAAGCCTCGACTTCTTCGCCACATTGTCATTTCAACAGGTTAAATGGATGAGCGTAAAGATATTTTCCACTTAGTGAAAGGTTTTCAACTTAACAGCTCGACTATGGGCTGCAAAGAAGTCATATTTTAGAGACATGATGTTTTATAGCACACTCACAATGATTTCAAGAAACTGTTAAAAGGGAAATAATGAACAACTACATCTGGTCTTCATCAGCAGATGGATGTCTCTATATTCCGGAACTCTTTTGCAACACCTTTGGGTTGCAACAATATTTGAGTGTTAAATCTTGAAGAAAGTATTCTGTAAGAAAGGAATCCCAAATTAAGTTACAGTTACAAGCTTCCCAATAACTTAAAACTGGATTCCCTGGATATTCATCTTAAGATTGATGATTTTTTTAAGGAAGCATTTGTTCATGTTGGCTCAGCAGTGTTGCGTGACTCTATCCCTACAATCTGTTTCATTAGTCACGTTTCCTTGTAATTCTCTTCCCTTGCTTCTTTAGTTTTCCTTCAGTGCTTTTCCCGAGGATATTGAATGTCTTTTACCAGTCCAACAAGCAAGGTAGAAAAACTAAAATAGGCCTCCAATGCTGGCTAATTGTTATTGACATATGCTCATTGAGCTCCTTCACCCTCTCTCCGTAGTACAAGTTTATTAGATTAGTGCTTGTTGGACTTTTTTTTTCAGTGCTCCTTTGCAGTGTCTGATTTCCTCCTGTGCACAGAGAATGCATGTACACATGCTTGATGTATTCCCCAGAGTCTACAGTATCAATCGCTACGTCAAAATCAATTTCAGTACCCTGTAAATACCTCTGTGGACAGATTGGGGGAGAGAACTGGATCTTCTTACTCTGCTGTTTTTTCTATGCTTTTTTGAAGTATAACAAACACACTTGATTGTTTCTCTGTTTCTCTTTAGGGGCAACCTGGAACAAGAGGCTTTCCAGGCTTTCCAGTAAGTCATGGTTATGGTCTGTCATATCTGTCCAGGTCATATTTATGTTTTGAATATTTTTGTAATGGCTAGATATTTGAGATTTTATTTGAATGCGCTAAAGAAATAAAGATGTAAAATACATTTGAACAGTCTTAATTATTAGTATGGTTGGAACACATACTTTATGGCCCACAGTGGCAGCAAAGAGGGCCGCTAAACAGTACTCGAGTTTGGTTTGGAAAGAAAAATTCTATTTTGTTACTTCTGAGTGACACAAAGTCTTTGTTTTCCATCTTAAAAGTTGCCAAGAGGTATTTCCAACGTTCTTCCTGTGACTGTATTCATAAGGTCCTGAGTGACTAATATTTTCTAGTTCATTGAAAGGCGTGCCTAGCCCATGATAGATAGTATGACAATCCAGAATGACAGCTAATCATAAATTTTGTTTAATTTTACAGTATTACTTCTTTCATCTACACCCACACAACCTACATATTCCACTTAAAAAAGTTTCATCCAGTTTTGCAAGCAGCACCTTTTTTTCAAATGGCATTGTACAATGGCCAGCTGTTGTAGTAGAAACTGTGTGATGCATTGCAAATCTCCATATGTGCTCACACATCTCCCTCTCTTTTTTTTATCCAAAGGGTCCAATCGGGTTGGATGGCAAGCCTGTGAGTTTCCCCACGTTCCTGTTGGAGTGAAATAACTGTGAAATTGAGTGCTCCTGCACTGCCCAGAACTGTGATTATCTGTAATGATAATGAGTATAATTAAGCTAAGAATAATTATGATCATTATGGTAATAAAATCTCTATTAGTGTCATTACTGTTATTAAAGGGTGGGGTTAAACATGCCATGAATATCCCAAAGAAAGTTTTTTTCATTTTTCTCAATGAAATCAAGTGAGGGGTTTTGTTTAAATTGATCCAGCTATTTAACCATCTGTGTTTTCTGTTTTATCTATTTGTACAGGGACAGAATGGACAGAAGGGAGACATGGTAAGCAGTCCTATCAGTCTGAATTCTTCATTAGCATAGCTGGAAAACATTGCAGTCAATTGATAAGCTCTTTGGGTATGTTTAATGAAATTTACAATCAACAAGTCAAAGAAAATACAAAATATTAACACAAACTTGTTTTGCTTGGGGCTGGTCTTTGGATTTATGAAACAGAGCAGTGGACTAAAAGCGGGTGACATGTAGCTAAGGGGTCAACACAGATGGAATCTGTTAGCTACTTTCTTGCTTTAAGTCAGGGTCAGTAACTTAAATGGTGACATTTGACGATGGCACACAATGATCTGACTGTACTTGAAATGGATTTAGCACATTTAAATATTCAGTATTAGTACTCTGTCTTCCTAAATCCTTAATATTAGATACTATTATTAAATTATAATAAAGGATTATCTTAAATCCTTCAGTACCTTATGAGCCGTACGGTGCAAACAGACAAGATCTAGGTTTGCTAAATTGTCCATGTCATTGTTGTTCATAACTTATGATCTGAAGAAAACTTACTCTGGCTGACTATCAGCTGTTAAAGAGCAAAAGCAAGTAGCCGGAGCAGATCTCCGGCTTCCATGGGCTGTTTAACTTTATGTTCAGTTTTCATTTTTAGTTCAGAAGTTGTGTGTCCTTCATGTCTATTAAGGTGGAAAATGGAGTTGTGGAGGTTAGTGTTGTGGACAGACTCGTCATACGTGAAACAGTTTCAAGATTTTAGTAGCCTTACTTTAATCATTCCAATTTTTGCCATTACACTGATCTGAAGGCACAGTTATACCGTGGAAGGCATAAAAAGTGAGCATTTAAAGACAAAAAAGATTGCCATTGGTGAGGGAAGACATAGCTAAATCTGCCATACATTGAGTCATTGGAGAATCATCCAGTTTCATTGTTCTTCTTTGGAGGTGAAGTCCATAAAAAGCATCTTAGTCTGACTATTGACTTTCCTTAACTGGATATTTTCCCCACCAATTAGATTCATCCTTAGAGTTATTTCCATTTCCAGGATAAAAGGGTTCTGTTCTTCATAATGATGTTAGCTTGTCTGTCATTTCAGTGTTGTCCACAATGTGTTGATGTTTTGGCTTTTATCCTGCTTATTGTGGTTTCATTAGCTTCCCTCTTGGCTCTGCTTGTGCACCACTGCTCTTGGTCAGACGGGAGGAAGTCATTATGCTAGGGTTTGTTTTCAGAAGAGGGGGACTTATGCCTTCTGTGGCCAGCCCTGTTGAATTTTAGGTTAGCACAAATGACAAAATTTCCAGGAAGCTGAGTGGGGTCGGATACTGTTAAAATAACGTTTAATGTTGATTAATGGCTCTGTAATGAGCTCCTGTTTCGTCGTCTCTTTCCTGACAAATGTCAGCTTGTATTGAAAAGGGCTTTGAGCGGTTGTCTGGTAAATGTATGGAGGTGCTGTTGCCTTCACAATGTGGCTTTAGATATGTGACTGTGAGGTCACCAGCATGGGGTGCTCTGGATGTATCCTACTGGGTCCTCTCCCTGAGTTCATTAATCAACTGTTCGCTGAGCTCTGACAGCTACTTACACTGGGCACACCCCAGGGCCTGATGGGAAGTCAAACTGAGTACCTTTGCCCAAAAAAGTAATTGGAAGAGACTCCTGCAACAGCTTATTCATTAGTTTGATTGATCCCTTGACATGTTTCCTCGTTTCACTCATGTTTATTGAAGGGATTTATGTTGAGTCATGTTGTATTCATTGTAAAGCTGTAAAGCAATGCTCAGCTCACATTAAAGACTGTCTGTGTTGATGTTGTCTTTCAGGGTCAGCGTGGTAATAAAGGGCTCCCAGTAAGTATAAAAGTCATTTCTGAAATAATAACCTGCTAACATTTAATCTTACTGCTAAATACCTTACCTTGCTGTATCTCATTTATGTGTTGTTTTACTTTTTAGGGGGATCCTGGGCCCAAAGGAGAGAAGGTGAGTCGTGGTTTTGCAATAATTTGACTGTTTTGCCAGCAAGTAATAATTGGTTCTATTAATTCCATCATGTGGAGTACTCCTACAAAATAAGCATTGCAATTCTTAAAAGCCGGGGGGTTTTAATAAAGGAGGGTAACAAAAGCGCTCTTTGAATCCCTAACCCTAAAATCATAACACTACTATATGTGGTCACTTTATTTCTGAATAGACCTTTTTGTCCTTTTCTCTTTAGGGTGTTTGTGGAGATTACACTCACCGGGTAAGAAAATCTTCACAATTTCACAACCAAAATGTTTTCTTCTCAATAAATTATAACTTCATGCTAAATTTCTGAAATGATTTGAATCTATTGTTAACAATGCAATGTAAAATGCTATTTTAATGGACTGATCCTGAACCTGTACTCTATCTGACAGATTATAACAGTATCTTTATGTACAGTGTTGTAATGTCAGAAAATTACAGAAATCTGAAGTTGGAAGAGGAGAAACTACTGCAGAAGCTTGACGAGCAAATTGCAAGTAGCTCAATGATGGGTAGCACATGCAGAGCTAAGTAGTTCTTTGGCCTGTCATCTATGGGGTTTGGCTAGTTGAGGGAAAAACAAAGCAATTACCAGCAATCGGCTGGAGCATACAGTCAGACGTGATAAAGTTCCGTGTGTGGAGCTGCCAAGAATAAGAGTCTCCTGTGTAAAGGGGGATTTTTCAGACAGCAAAATCCATTTCCAGCACAATTCAACCTTTAATTCAATAAATACGAATACTGAGATGATTAAACTTTTGCTACCTGTTTCCCCCTGAAAAAGCATTACAATGCAATGCTTAGATTGGTAATTGATCATGCATCATATTGTGATATACATCTCTCAATAGGAAATACTTTGTCAGGCTACATATATTTCAGAATGAGGTGTTCAAAGGAAAAAGGACCCAGAGAGAATTTCAGGTCGAATGATTTTATCAAGCAATGAGTCCAAGTTCCCCTTTGATAACAAGATGTACGCATGTCGAATTTGTTTTCCATTTAACTCTCTGAGCTCCCCACAACAGTCTGCATGGGAGGTCCATCCCGAGTGTATGCAGACTCTAAAGGCCTCTGTCCTGTAGTGAGACCCCTGGGGGTTGGGGGGGTAACTGTAGGGGGAGGTAAAATGTTCAGTGCTTAGACGGTTTGCCTTTCAGGACAAAGCCAGCAAGCTCAGCAAATATTTGTGTTATCTGTATTTCAGCAGAAAGTAAGGGAATGGCAGCTAGCAAGCACATTTCAAACAGCCACTCCATGGTTAATAGAATAGATTTTTTTTCTTCTTCGTGAGAGTTGGATTAGACAATTGATCAATCTCTTGTGTGTTAATGCAGATCTGGAGTATGGATGTGGTTAGCCTAACTTAGTGTTAAGGCTTGAAGCAGTGGGAAACCGTTAACCTGGTTAATTCCTAAACCTTTTGCTAAATGTTTATCAGATTGCATCCCTTTTTCATCCAACAGTTTGTGGTCAGTTATAATGACTCTTTTTTGACAAACTTGATCTCTCTTTGGTTTTGGTTTCACAAGTAATAGCTGTAGTATGTCCATATCAAAAGGAAACATTGTTAGATTTAATGGGTAGAGGATTTCATTGGCATTGGGAACATGTGCAAAATAGCAGTCTATCTGTTCTCCTGCATTAGATCTATTGCTAAGCAAGGCTAACCACATCCTGACTTAAGATCTCTTGTTTACAAAAAGGCGTTCATCTTGACATCTAACTTTGTGTATGAAAAGAAATGCACCTTTGGAGATGTCCATTTGAACTGAACATTTTAAATCTTCTCATGAGATGAGGCGCTTTTGGGTGGAAGGATAACGGCTTTTTGCAAACATTACCAGCACTGACTGAAATGACCACTTCCCTGGTGTTTAGGGCCTCTTTGTGCAGGAGCTCCCTCTGAAAACCCTGGCTGCCTTGCGCTCCAGTCAGGCTCTGACGTTAAAGGTTTGTGGGTGCCTGAAAACACCCCAAAAGATAACTCTCAGTGGGGGTGACACCAAGTCAAGCCACAAAGAGATAGCCAGTGCCCATGAGCAAAGTGATCTTCAACCCTCAACTCTCCACTCTAAAAAGTATAGATATCAATAAAGTAACAAAGTTGCTACTGGTTTGGTTCATGCAGTTACTATCACCTTGAATAGTTACTGAAATTAAGGTTTCTTGTGCCTTCTTCCAAATCAAAGGATACCAATATTAGAATGAAATTACATTTAGCATAAGTGTACAAATGTTGTATTGACTAGAAATTCATTTACACAAATATTTATTACTTAGAGATGTTTATTTTTAACTTTGAATTTACATTTCAGAAAATAAAATATAAATGTAATGTTTTGACTTATCAAGACTACTCTCTGCAAAAACACAACCTATCTGAAGTCAATCTATTTTAAAGACAACATATTAAACTTCCATCAATTTGTATCTGTTATAAGAATTCATTCTAATATTGCCAGCCTTTGACTTTAAAAGCTGTTTCAACTTGTGGTGGATAGCGGGACATGGTGAGGGACAAAGCTGCACATTTGCCTACTTTTACAACATTTATACCCCTACTTATATTTACTCATAACATGCTGTGTATATTTCCACAGAAGTAGCACATAAAGCACTGTAATATTTTTTGGCTTTCAACTGTACTACTAAAAATAGTGTGACTGATCTCACTCTGGGAAAAATAAGTTTCCAAAATGGACCAAATTATAGATTCAATATTTAGAGGTTTTAGAAATAGACACGTCCTAGTGGTATATGGCTATTGGGATAGTCTTCGCTTTATTGGTGCTTGCAGAATAAATATTGTGGAAATATATACACATCTATATATAAGCTATGTCAAAAGTAGGTAAGTTGAATGCAGCTGGTTCTACTTGGAGACAATGGGGGAATGTAGCAGCAAGAATATAGATCATACCTGTACTATCCTCTCCTAAACCTGTATCTGATCATGCTGGTCATCTCAACAGAAGCGGCGTATTGTACAGCCCTGTGTTGGACAGTTGGCCACAGTAAGTCTGGATGTGCTATGTAACTGTACTGCTGTACTCTCTTTGTGGCAAGACTGGTGCCCACTTCTGCTCAGCTGCAATCTAAAGGCCTGGCTTACATTCATGGGGACATTGATGCACAACAATCCCAAATATGGGATACATGATGACTTTAAACAAACAGACTCCAGGAAAAAAAGCATTTGCATTGTTTTGGAAAAAAAAGAAGCATCACTGTGCATCAACCATCCCCTCCATCACTCCAGGCCTGTAGTTTGCTCTTCTGTCTTTTTTCCTTCGACCTTGTTTTCTTTTTTCTCTCCCTTGCCTTCCCGTTTCCTTGCCTTTCACTCTAATGTTCTATTTCTCTTCTCCCTCCACATCCCTCCACCCTGTCCTCCCTCGTTCTTCTTTCTCTGGCCTCCTGGTGACCTTTGCCCTGTGACCTTTTTTCACCGCTGGCCACCTGTGCTTTGTGACTGCCCCCGGCAGATGTTGCCCATCACCGTGCGCAACATGCCCTCAATAAGCCCTCTAATCCTAAAACGCCTCAAGGTACAATTCTCTCTGCCCCCTTCTCGCCCTTTCTTCTTTGCCCGCCCTGTGGATGTTGACCGCCGCCATCTGCCGCCAAAATCTCTCCCCTCCCTGCAAATATTTTGAAATTAACCAACTTTTGGCTGCTACTGCTGCTCAATGTTAAGATATTTTAAAAGTTATTTTCTGTCAATATTGTGTGAAGAGGAATTCAAAGAAATAGCTTGAAATTTAAGTAGTGGTAGTCTGTGGCAAGTGAGGATAGAAATACTAAAACATACGAACAGTTGAATTGATAGAAATTGGAAAACAAAATTCATTCAGTTTACCCTCAACAGAAATGAAAATGGCAAAAATGAAAGTGGTTCCCCAAATTCTGGTTTGCATCCAATACATTTTTTATTTTATTTTAAATCTTCAATAAATAGCAACTTTTGTATCCTCTATCTTTAGCAACAGCTACAGCATGTTAACAATGAGGTGCGACAACTCTGGGGGCTGTAGGAAAAGAGTTCAGTTAGAGCCACAAATAATGCCTGTTGTTTGGCTCATGCTAAGCCCTTCCACAAAGTTTCCTTCAAATCCAGAAGGCAGTTTTTGTTACAATCCTACTGACATACAAACAGACAAAAACAGAGAACTAAAGAAAACCAGTCAACCTCTACTGTGTCTTGGCTGCTCTACGCCAGGCCACAGTACAAAATGGTGTTGAAATTGTTCAGAACAGCACATTCTTATATCAGCTATTAGTGTAGCAGCTGGAGTCGATCCATAACAGTGTCCATAAGGCCTGAAAAAGGCCTGACATGTCCAGACCTATGAATCACATATGGGCTTATTGGGCCGTGCAGAGAAGAAGACGGATGACAAAACATGGATCTAATGTGGTTAGATATGTTCTCCATTATCTCAGAAGCTTGGCAGCACTCTGCAGTCCTGAGCTACTGTTTGTGTGTGTGTGTATTCCTACAGCAACACAGTGATTGCTGAGTGACTGAAGTAGAGCCAGTGCTTTGTGTTAGGAACTCCCTAAGTCAGACCATATGTGCAAATAAATACTGTACTGTCTGTATCATATATTACCGGCATGCCATGTAAACTTGCTGCCCTCTATAACAATGGTTATTTCCATTCGGGGTTGTCTTCTGTATAACATATCAATACAATCGGGAAATTGAGGATAGTTTTTTGACATCTAAATGATGAGTACGGGAAATTAGTTTTGCTTTAAACGACAGAGAAACAGATTCAGATGTGTAACAGACAGCCGCTGAGGTGTATTAATTATCTTCATATCCTGTACTCATTTTATTTTGTTTAGTCTTGGCTTCAGCTTGAGATCATTTCCAGGGTTCCTGCTGTCAGTTGGTAGCTTGGAACATCGACAAACATAATAACTTGCTTAGAAGCTGAAGAAAAAGTAAATGATATCAAAGTCAAGGTCATTCATTCATTTCAAATGTAAGCAGTAATAATAAATAACAAAGTCAGGGTGTTTTCTGATCTCTAACTGTATTTTCCCAATGAGAATTTCAAACTAAACAAAGAAGAGGTGAAATACCTTTGACAATCATTGCAGAAAAATGGCAGGTCCAGGAATGTAATTATTACCCATGATACTTTGCAGCTTTCCAAAAACAAAACAAACAATAAAAACCTTCATTATAATGTCACATTTTCCCAAGTGCCTTGCTCTTCAAAGAAGATAGAAAAACAGAATAACAAAATGATATCGAGCCATGTAAATTAACAACACTGAAGATGCACTATGCCTACTTTCTCTGGACCGTTACAAACCAGTGGCCAATGTCAGGTGACAGAAGTTGTTACATCATGTGACGTAACAAACTTTGCTAACAAAAACAGCAACATTATAAGAACTGTCTTTGTTCAGGGATGGACTTTGTCCAAAATTACTCGGACAATGACTTTAACCACTTAAACCAAAGGTCACTGACAGTGGATATTGTGTGTTTGTTTGGCCCTCAACATTTTAAAACATTCCCACGACCCAACATTTACCTGGACCAAGTTATTCTAGATACTTTGACTTTATCTATAAGTGAATTGGTCCCAAATTGAGCGAATGAACAGAGAAATCTCTGAAAACATTAAAAGGGAACTTTTTTTTTTTTTTTAAGAATGTTTTAGCCCAGGTAAAACTTCCCTGAGTCCAGAATGAAAGATTGCACTCAAGCATCATAACCGCTTGGCTTGCTCCCCAGCTAACCCTGCTCTCTTCACCCCCACCCTTAAGTTACTTGAGGTGGAGTGTGAGGTTGTTGAATTAGCATGACCATTGTGAAGAGGTTCCATCCAGCAAGGCAGATTGTAACTCAAGGTCTCTTAGCAGGGCGACCCTGGAGCGCAGGGACCCCCAGGACCTCCAGGGCCCCCCGGACCCCCAGGCCTTAACGGAGGCAGCGGCCCACCGGTAAGTTCCAGTTTGAGTTCAGTTTTTACACATGTTGAGTTTCCACCTGAAGAAATACTTCAGCTTTACACAGAAAACTAAATGTTTTGGGCAGAGAATCATAAACATCATAAAAATATTTTAATCAACTCAATTAGGATCAACTGCCCAACGGGTGCAATTTAATGTTACTTTCCAAAATCATTCTACAGTACTGAGCTGTTGAGACTCAAACCATCACATTTTGAAAACAGGAGAATCCATGTTACAAAAATAATATTGTCATTATCAAACTTTTCCTAGAGAGGGGCAAAGATAAGAATATTACAGATATGTTCTCTTTGCTGAGAGAAATATAAACCTCACTTGCTGCTGTCTGTGACTCTCGAGTTCCAGTGCTGATATTAGTTTTCTTGATGCAACCAAATTACCTAAAACAAGCAGTCAGTCTTCTAAGTATTAAGTTAAAGTTCAGTTTTGTTCTAAGTTTAATTTACTGTTTTGCTACTTTGCTTTAATTATTTTCGAAGGAAAGATATTTATAATTGCTGTTGGGTTCTAACTAGGTCCATATTTGGTACGTTTGTTGATATTGTGCCTAGTTCCTTCGATTTTATAAAAACTATTTCTGCTCCTTACATACAGGGTAAACCTGGTGAGCCTGGCAAACCAGGAAAAGACCCAAGGGTAAGCTTTGGTTCACTTATTCCTCTTCCTTTATTTTCCCAGACCCTTCTCAAAGGTGAAAGATTGTTTGTGTGATGTCAACCGCTTTGTGTTTTCTACTTTGTTTCTGCAGCTTTTACTGGGACTGAAGGTAAACATTTTTCTCTTCTTGTCAAAACATCATAATTACAGTTCTGAAAAGCTTAACGTATCACTTTGGTCTCTTATGATGACTTCAGAGTTATTACACACAAACACACTCAGATCCAAGTACAACAGGCCACATGAAACAGGGATCCAGTCAAGATGTTTCCACTTGGACCAAGTGCAGCTATTCAGAAAGTTAGCCTCGCCTACACAACACTACACACTGCCTTTTGAGTGGATGAGTATAGATCTCCACATGATGCATTAAATGCATCACGGATTATTTAGGAGGAGGAATGTTGATTGAGAGTTCAGGGAAGCGTACAGGGTCCTGTAAACGCCTCAGACTATGGAAAACAACTGAAGCTCACAGAAGTTCTTCTCTCGTGATTGGCTTCAGCATTAGCAGTAATAGCTAAACTACTGAGGCATCTGGTCGGAAAGATTTAAACCCTCAAGTTCAGCCCCTTGTTTATATGTGAATCTGTCAATATTTAATACTGCATATGTTATGTTGACTGTACATATTTGTACTTCATTTGTTGTTTCTCTCCAGGGTGAGCCAGGTGTGCCTGGACTAAAGGTGAGCTCTTGAATGCATACCATTTTTAAAAAGTACATCGTAAATTAGAATCAAAGACATGGTTACATTGGCTTTGAAATACTTACTACTTACTTAAAACCATCACTTTATTTCTTACTGTTTTGTTGGTCTTTCCCAGATGAGGGAGGCTGCTCTTGTTCTGGTTGCTTTCACTGACTGAAAAACATCCAGTTTAATTGTTTTAAGAAATCAAATATTTTACCTATTAGACATATTACAGAGAGAATCTCAAAGAGAGAATCTTTGCCCCTGTCTTGTGTTGTGTCCGCTTACTGTGTGTTTGCTGTAAGTCACCTTGCACTTTAGATCAGCGTTATAGTCTGTGTGTCTCTCTCCACATCTTTTTCTCAGGGTGATCGAGGTGATGTCGGCACATCAGGTCCTGAAGGCCCAAAGGTATTCCACAATAACATTTACTACCTGTAAAACGTTTTCTTGTTGAAAGTATTTTTTTTTATTCAGGGGTTCATGAAACAAATGAAACACTTAATAATATAACCAGATTTCTTAGAATCTGCTGTGTTTTTTGTTTAAAAGTTATATTAAGTTGATGGATGGTAGAAGCAAGGGTCTTTAAGTTGATTGATGTCGTGCCATTATTGATGCTGCTTTGGCTTTTAAGATATTGGATTTGAGCACGGACAACCATAATGGGATGTTGCCACCGTGGAACTTGGTCCTAAGCCATGAGTTTGGCCTCTTGGGTGCAGGTTTCCTGTTTGTTTTGGAACGACAGTAGAGGGACCCAGAGTTGGATGAGGGAAAACATTATAAAATAATGACGGGTGAGAAATTCTTACACAAAATTTTAAACTTAATTCGTTAGAAAGTGAATAAGGCATCCCATTTAGATAGGAATCATAAGTGCATACATCCTATCTAATAATTAGTGCTTTATATGATAGTGGAAGACTTTCACTCATCAACAAAAGGGGAGCATAGTCTTCTTGAAAGGTATGGTTGGTACAATTTCTGCAAGCAACTCATCTAATATATGCATGAACAATGTATTTCTGTGCAGAGTTTGCATGTATAGGTTCTCTCTGAGTACTCCGGCTTCCTCCCACACTCATGGTAACACATGCTGGTAAGATTAATTGGTGACCCCAAATTTACCCCATCTCTCACCAATGACAGCTCTAGCCCCCTGCGACATTGAATGGGATATAGGATAAGTGGTATGGATGGATGGATGTATGGATGTATTTTAAAATATGGGGTCTATGGGGACTGAATTTTGAAGTCTGAAGATGCTGTTACAGGAACAGCAGTTTTTTGGTTCTTGCTTGATTGCTTCATTTTGAGATATAGAGGATGCTGTTTGGGGGTTAGGTTCCATGTGGTATGAGGTGTTTAAAAAGTCTGTAACTTTTAAGACCTCAACAAGACATACCTACCTCAGATTACTGGATCCCCATATTACCTTAATTTTAGAATTACTTTGTGTAAATCACAAGGACAGTGGGCCATCTCAGCAGCATTGTCTGGCCTTTTCTAGCAAACATTATATTACCATTTATATAAGATTGTAAAGGAAAGTATAAAATGAAGCTATGAAACTTGTTTAGAAGCCATATCAAATAAATACCGAGACTCTGACCTCACAAAATGATTCAGGTAGCATCTGCTCCCACATTTATGGTTTTGACATTTGTTCAATGGAACATGTTTGTTGGGTTATTGCATAACAGTCTCCCTAGTATTGAACAAACAGAGATGTACAAAGCATACAAACACATGTGCACACACTGACACTAACACAGTGTGTGGACAGCAGGCTAAAGGATTTAACCTTGGCTTTGAAGTTTTGTGGGGGGCAAAGTGAGTTATGCCTGCCACACTCTCCACGTGTTTGTCCTTCTACACTTTTCCATGGCTTAACAGACTTCCTCTAGAGGACAAACACAAGCACATGTACACGAAGCTGATCAACACAACTCCAAGCTATTATTTGGCATTAATAGAATAACTGACTTTTAAGGAGTTGTAGAATACAACAGGAGAGATGCAAAACATGTGATTGATAAAATTGAAAAACAAGACTGAAAAAGAAAACTGCAAATAGTTAGAAAAAAATATAAATCATTATATCATAATACAGAGGAGTCCTCAAGAATGAATAGTAGAGGCCAAATTTTAGCATGAATGATATATATATTTTTCTAAACTCTATATTATATGTCTATAATATCATATATTATGAGCGGAATCAAGAATTGGAACACGTATGAAATCAAGATATATAGTGTCCTTTAAACCTCCTTTGGTCTCCTTAAAACCCATGTTTTAACATTAGCATGTATTTGTGTTGTGTAACTGGCCAAATAACTAACTCTATTATACATAATCTCACCCTTGCACACTGTTGGCCAGCTGTTCTTAGCACTTTGTGCAAAGTTTTTAATCAAGTCCTTTTTATACAGATAACAGTATCAGGTCTTCAAGGAAGAATGTGACATTTACACTGTTTACAATGAGTGAGAAGCGTGAGTCCTGTCAGCTGTGTTATTGCCGGGCTGTGTTTACATCATGTTTACATGGACGGGACGGCCTTGATTATGAAGCTGTTTTAAGTCAAGGACTAGAGAAAAGAATAACAGAGCCTACTCATTTCTTATTTGGATGTCACATAAGTGTCTTTAGATCACAGCCTTCTGTGTAAATTGATGTACAATATGAAGCTATGAGTTAACCTAAGTGTGCTAATATTAGCCTGCTAACACAACAATGCAGGCCACAGGCAATTGCAGCTCGAGCAAGGGACAGTTTTGTCTGCCGCTTGCACTTAATGGTGCTTAATAATGGTGCGTCATAATTCATAACTCCTTCGTACGAATGCAAGTGGAGAGGGGTTGGAGGTTTGCCGCTGGAGGAGAGCGGAGGCTTTAGAATAGCAGAGATGTCACCAAACAGCAGTTTGTTTTGGTTTCATGGGTCTACATCTACTGGATCAAAAAGTTGCACATTCTTCCTTTAAAAAAAACAAATAGGTAACCTTAAAACAAAAAAAACAAAAATCAAACCTCCAATGAGTTTGGTTATCAAAAATCCAATAACCTGTTATTAAGCAGTGATGATCTTAAAGAGCCCATATTATGCCTTTTTAGGGGTTCGTATATATTTAATCTATGTTCCTACTTTTGTACGTTCACAATAGATGAAGTCCGAAAAAAGTGTCTGTTTTCATGTACTGCTCCTCCTTGCTCACTCTACGCTCTGAGTCCGTCAGCTACACTCTGTTGAGCCCACACTGTTAGACCCCACGTGGGCCAAGTCTGCTCTGATTGGTCTGACGATCCGCTCTGTTGTTATTGGTCAGTTGCTCAGCACGCGTCTCGGAAATTTCAACATGAGCTGCAGGGCTTGCCACAACGAGCCAATGGGCTTAGATCAGTAATCTCACACTGACAATGATGCCGCACTGACAAATTTTTATCGAGGGGGGCTAGAACCAAGCGTTACATGCAGACTTTGAATTTTTGCACATAGATGTGCCTAAACATGCACAGGACACTTGGAAAACACACTAAAGGGCATATAAAACCAGAAAAAACATAATATGGGACCATATTATGCCCTTTTTGGGGTTTGTATATTTAATCTATGTACCTACTAAAGTATGTTCACAATAGCTAAAGTTCTAAAAAAAGTCTCTGTTTTCATGTACTGCCGCTCCATGCACCGGCTCGCTTCTGACTCTCTCTTGAAGGCTCTGAAGTGCCCACGTTCAGAGTCCCCACATGTGCCAAGTCTGATCTGATTGGTTGGCCTGTCGGCTCTGCCGTAATTGGTTCTCGGAAATGCCACGCCCCTTTTACCATATTGGGAATGTAGCCACTTTGGCTCCGAGGAGAGCATAAACATTAGCACCTTAGCACTACTGTGCTACCGCAGGCTACGGCATATCGTGGGCGTGCCACAGAAGTTAACGGACCTGCAACATGAGCTGCTGGGCTTGCCACAACGAGCCAATAGACTTAGATCAGTGATATCACACTGACAAGACGTCACACTGGCAAAAAAAATTCGAGGGGGGCTAGAACCGAGCGTTACATGCAGCTAATGCTGCAGCTAACAGGAGGACGTAGGAGAAGCTGCGTCTACGCGGACTTTGAATTTTTGCAAATAGATGTGCCTAAACATGCACAGGACACTTGGAAAACACACTAAAGAACATATAAAACCAGTAAAAACATAATATGGGCCCTTTAAGATGGATGAAAATGATGAAACCAATGGTAAAATATAAAATATCACACATAGGGAACAAATAACCCAAGTAACATTCAGTATTTTTTATCAATAAAGCAAGGACAGCTGTGTTTCTTTGATTTAATTGCTAATATGAAGTTAATACCCATGAATTCATGATGTTTAATCTAACCTCAACACTTAATGTTCCAGCCGAAGAAGATCATGAGGTAAAAAGATTTTTTACTCAATGATCCCAATTTACTATTTTTTTTCATCTAAATCCTGTACAACTAGAATACAGCATCCCCATCATCTGTTTTGGGAGCTGCTATAACAACAAAACCCCAGCAGATATCTATAGCATGACTCTTTTTGAAAGTGACTTTTCCTGAAGCCACTATGTTTTCACTGTGACTATAAAGGTCACATTGAAAAACAGAGGGTCCCTCTGAAGTTTATACTACAGCTTTTCTTAGGATAGGATTGCTGGAAGAACTTTGTTGCTGTGAGCTCCTCTGCAGATTATTGCCTTGTAAACTTCCAATCCCACCATTCTTTCATCTCACTCTGTTTGCACATGAAAGCGTACCAAAATCCTGTTCCTGTTTTCTAGCATAAACTCTACCAGCACATCAGGGTATTGAGTTAAAGGTCAGTAAAAGGACAGAGAAGAGGCCTTCACAGATGCCTTCTTTCCCAGCGGCTACAAATCAGGGATTAGATAACTTCTTTTAAGAGATGTAAACTGCTTTCAAAGTTTTCCGTTGAGCCTCTGACACTTCCCTCAGCGCTTGTCTTAACGCCTATAGAGGATCTTGTGCTCCATCTAGTGGACCGGTGTAATATGTGTTACATTTAAAGTGTTTTCTCTGCTTTTACAGGGAACCATGGGTGAGCAAGGAATAAAGGTAAGCTAAATTTATGTTTACCTTTTAATGTTTGTGTCATAACCTGTTGGGAACAGCTTTCACCACAGGTAGTGGGCTGATCACATTTAGGATATGCTGTTGCTCTGGATGCTCCCTCTCTCCTGACCAGGCTATAAGCTGTTGAAAAAACTTTCATCCATGTTGTTTGAAGGATAGAATTGCATCTTGAGAATAACATCTAGCCTAAGCCTAGCTAAGTGGCATTAAGTTGGAATTGTTACAATTTAGAACCTATAGAAGCTAAATGTGTCATCACATACAAACATTTAGGGAAGCTACAAGCTAGCTAGTTGTTGCATACCCTGGGATATGTTTCTTAATTAAAATATACAACTTGGATTGGCCCCCATGTTCAATTTTGAACTGACTCAGGAAAAATATATCTGAAATAGTTGGAGTACAAATAAACAGCAAAAGAAGATGTGCTACATTGAATTAATGCAATAACAAGCTGGCAGTCCACCTCTGAGCAGGTAGATAACCAATCAAAATTCAGGATGATGGACTGCCATGTGGATAGACCAATCAAATTTCATTGTCAGAGCCACACTTTCCTTGTTTTGTTTAATTTACATAGTAACCACCTGCTCTTTGTATCCAGGGACAAACATGAAGACCCCTCATTTGAACTCTTAAGATTTAGTTCCCCTCCTGTCTGGTCCATTTCAAGAAGGAAAACTCCCTTTTCCTCTGAGCTTTGCTCATCTTTTGATGTACCACTGGTTGAAATTTTTACTATCCCGCTGCTTCCCTGTACTGATGTTTCCATCCACTCTGCAGGGAGATGAAGGAAAACAAGGTTTCCCTGGAGAGAGGGGAGAGAAGGTAGATTGACAGGCTAGCATGAAGTTGCGTGTGTGTGGCATGTCAAGGTGAATTTATGCATGGCAGGATAACAGACAAGAGCACTCAAAAGTTCATATTTTATTGGGGAAGCTGCTGTTTGCGGTGGAGCACTAAAATCATGGAGCTATATAGCAGTGGAATGGTAATAGAATGATTTTTGTGGTAACTTAGTTATGCTATTTCTGGCAAGAATGACAAACACTTGAACTTAGGATTCGTTTAGTTATTGTCATGCAACTAACTCGATGGTCTTCATGTTGATAAAGTTAATATGGCAATTTAAGAATGTCTTCTGAAGTTGACTTACAATGACCTGTGTATACATAAACAAGTGTTTATGGAGGCACAAACTGCTAGTTTCCATGGGTGAGGCCAAGTAGCTATGAAGCTTGAACATAAAAGATTTCCATTCTGATTCCTGACGTCCGTTTTGAGATTTTAGCAGTGATAAACTGGTCTGGAACCAGGCTTCATTTCTTCAGCAAACCTTTTCTTGTCTCTTCATAACTGTAACTCAGCAGTTTACTTCTAAATCAATTACTGCTAATTACTTACCTTATATCTCTAATTACTGTACTGCTCCTTCTAAGGACTCCAGTTCTGCAGGAGTCCTCTTTTGGCCATGGTAGCAGTGTAGTAGCATGTGTGTTTATCTCATTAAGCCTCAAAAATAGACAGATGGGGAAAAAAGGTACAAAGTGAAATACTTAAAGCAAAGTGCATATCCATTGCCACTGTCTAGAAACAGCTATCTGGAAAGGCTTATGCCGCTTAATGATAAAGAGTTAATGTAACAGTGTGGTTGCTTTAGATGTGAAGGATTCATTATTCCAGGGGGAATCTGTTTAATAAATAATCTTAAAGACTTGGCTTAATGAAACAAAGTGTTCTATTATAGGAATTTTGTGGTATACTGTACATGATGACCGGCATTGTCTGCATGGTGCTGACCACAAATGATGACTCCTGTAGAGTCAACCGCTTCCGTTCTAGACCTCTCAGCAGGCAACAGGCCAATGTCTAGCCATAGAGGAAGCAGACACAAGTACCACCGCAGGACCTTGTCCCGTCTGTCACTATGATGAAATACCATTTTGCTCTAGACTGATCCAATAATCTCTGCCTTCGAACACAGCTTTGAATTTAACTTTCCATGTGGGAACTGAGAGGGACAGAGAGATTGGATTTCATGACAAGGGAGAGTGTATGCCAACTGTTGCACTTCTTGCTTCTTCCTGACTTTTTGTTCACTGCAAATGCAAGGCAATGAGCTGCCCAGCTGGAGGAAATATTATAAGCAGAGAGAAAGATGGCAATCAAATCATCTCTTCATCATCCTCGTTTTATTATTCTCCCCAAGTATTTTATACAGGCAGACTGGCAGTGCAAGCATGCAGGTTATAAAAACCCATATTTCATGTGTTGATCAGTTGTGACCTCTAGTGGTTGCAGTAATAATGACTACAGGTACAGATGGAAGTAGGAGTGGCTATAATGGTGGTAGAGAGACAGGGATGAGTTGGTGAAGAATACAGGCAGGAAAAAATGAATATGACACAGGGAGAAAGTGCAAGTGACACCAGTTGGCCCTGACACAAGCACCGAACACCAACTGAAAAATGTGGTGCAAAAAAAAGTGAAGTGGAAAAATTGTAGTTACCTGAGTGTCCTTTTGAGGCCTTACCCAAAAAGCAAGACAATCCATGTTAGGCTAAACTTTGATACATTTGTGGTGGTTGGCCTTTCCCCACTGAGAAAAAAGCTGGCTCTAGTGATAAGACAGTTAATTAAGTAATGGCGTTTGCGCCGTTGACGTGACGCTTGCTTTTTTTGAGGAAATGTTAGGTCAGTTACTGCCAATAACAGATTATAATTCACCAGCTAATGAACTAGCTATGGGCAGAGTAGGTAAAGCATTGATACCTTCCAGAAAAACACTTGTATGCCAAAATGCAAAACTCCAGGATTTAACAAGAAAAAAACAAAAACAATAGATGATGTCACGGTGGAAGAATGACAGGGTTGTAGATTGTGTGAGTAAAAGGCAGACTGACTGGAAGGACTGACAAAACCTACACTTAAGATTCTATCAAGCAGCCCTCCAGCTTAACTGGAACAAAAGTCTTTCTCCACCAAACAGCATTTTTGGCCTCATATTGCCAATAACATCCAGCGCTTAAAATAACCACATCCCAAGATAAACATCCATCAGAATTGTTGGTAGTGGTTTCAAATCTTTGGTGGTTCAGTTAATAGAAAACATGTTGATTTTAATCTTTAATATGTTGTTTAATGTTTGAAAAATCTGAAGAAAAAAATGTGTTGGTTACTTAAACTACTTGGTTTAAGTAACAAAACTTTGCATCAACATACTAAGCCTAATCCTGTTGTTTTGCAGCCAGTCATACTATTTCACTATTTGGAGTACACATGGACAAAAGTTATGGAAACCCTGGCAGTAAAAAGTGCATGTCCACGATGTGCTACCTCTTAAATGTAGTGTGACAGGATGACTTGGCTACAGTACAACAGAATGAAAATGAGTGATCCTCCAGCATGTAAGATAATTGCAGTTTTTTTTTAGTTTGCGAGTGACTGATTGGTTTGAACTTGTCCTTCCTGGTACTCCTCTGAATTGGAGAGCCTGTGGCTGCATGGTTTCAACAAACAGATTAGCATATTGATAAATCATGACATGTCATGCCAATGAAAAATCCATGTAGGCTTACACTTGATGTATTTCACAGGAGTACGTTGTTTAAATAGACAGCAGGTGGATGACGGACAAACTTTTGAGGCAACCACAGGCATGCTAAAATCTGATTGGAGCAGTCATAGATCAAAAGAAGGTGTTGTTTCCTGTTTGGGGCAGTTGGTTGTTGGGGAGTGTCTGTTAGAACCTCTCAGTGCATTTAGGTCCGTCAACACCAGGGTACTCCTGAGGATGATGGCTGTAATTGAGGTCCTGCAATGCTTTTATCTGACCATAGACTTTAGCTCTTCTAGATACTCCATCTATATGCAGTCTCTCATATCTCCATTTTACAGTTTATCTATAGGTGTAAAAAGAACTGTCAAAATCTACTGTAACCTTAAGGCTACAATACTCTGATAATGTGATATTCGGACTTTGGCTAAAAATCTCTTCAGTTTATTAAGTCACAAATAGTGACAATAAGTAGTAGATGTGACATCTACATATAGTAATAGTAGGAGCTTTAGCACAATTGAGATTGTACTTCTAAAAAGGTATATTTGAACTATAAGTCAACATACCAAGCAACTTCACGATCCAACTACTTGCAAATGAGGTGGTTCTGAGTTCCCTTTATGGTAGGTTTGATGAAATATATGGTTTTTCTCAACAATTTATATTAAAGAAATTGTATCCAAGGATGCACTCTTACAACTGACTGCCAAATAATTAATTGCTTAAGCAGATTAAGCATGTACAATTGTGCGGAGAAAAACGATTATTGGTGCATTGTGGCTCCTCAAAAAAGCCACCAAGCTCTAAAAGATAATATATTCATTGGAAACTGTCATTGGTCTCTGTGTATAACTATCATGCTGATTCCACTGGGATTTGGATTGTAGGAACTCCCTTAACCAGCCAGCAATGTCTTCGCTTGTGTGGTCACAGCTGTGATAGTAAATCATCTCTTAAGCTTCTACTCATTAACCTAAAGGAGGAGCATCAACACAGATGACCTAATGACTCATACATGTTTCCTTTCTATTTTTAACAACCGGTTTCAGAGGGTTCTATATGCTGTGGCTAGCAGTGTGTCTCTTCATGATTACAATGCATTCTAACTGTCACATTGTACTAAGATTTTGGCCTAGGGGGCCCTTGACCCCTTGGACCTATTAGCCTGTGCCCTGTTTGCCAAATCTAAGAATGTAATTGCATGAAATAGACCGTATAGGTCTGTTTATGAACATCCTTAAGAAAAAGAGTAACAACTGATCTCCTTTTCTTCATTTTCTGCAATCTTTGACCTTTATGCCATTGTTGACATTATAGGGAGAACGGGGTTTCTCGGGCACTCCTGGGTTTAAGGTAAAGTCATTTCCTGAACAGTGTGTCTGGCGTTTATTACATATCCCAAATGAAATCACCAGGTCATAAATGTATTTCCTCTGCTGCAAAGGGCCAGGCTGGCGTCCCTGGTACTCCTGGCATCCCTGGAAAGAGGGGCTACAGGGTAGGACTGGACTGAGCATCTTAACTGAATGGTTGTGCTTCTGTCAGTCATGTGTCAACATTAACTGGCCATCTGTCAAGTTAGATATTCATCACATGAGTGTTTTTTGTTTGTGACTTGCATATGTGCTCATAAAGTCTTAGTGTTTTGTGTTTTATCTCTGTGTTGTTGGCTGTTCTTTACTTGGTATTTGTCGGAGTGCTGTTGTCTTTATGATGGATGGTACTGTATAGTTAGCCAGTACTAATTTCTTCAGATTGGAGAATTGTGCAATTTCCTTTGTGTTGCACATTACAAACTTTGTGATACCATTTGTCATTTCTAACAACACTCATACATGCATTCTCTGTATCTATCTGGATCAAAGATGGATGGTAAGAAACCATGATGACAACATTTCTTTACAAAATATTCTTAAATCCACTTACCTTCTTGCTACTTGGCTTTTACCTAAATCCTGTATCCCCATATCATGAACTTAATTTTCATCAGAGTCACAGGGAACTTTGAGAAGCTTATTTTTAAGGGATCAACGGTTGCACCAGCCCATGGTTGTCTGTGTTTCAGCCGAGGTCTGAAGACCTTTGAAGATCAGTCTGCTGACATGTGAAAAAGCCACACCAGTTCTCTACTAATCAGAACTGATCAGGCATATGAAAACTCCCTTTACTTTCAGCAGAAGTTCCCCTATTACAGGTACCTTTGGCTGGTAAGATATAGTCTGAGGGAAGTTAATATTAGACAGTGGTCCCATGTTGGAAACACGCTGAGTTATTAAAAAAAGCCAATGGTGGAATGGTTGAAATGTAGAGTAAGTATCCATCAGGGTTTGCATGAATTGAATCACTTGGCCAAGCCTCGTATCAGGGAAGGGTAGGATAAACTATTGATGGGAATCACAGCAGGTCAAGGGGAAGTCCAGGTCATCCAGTACATGACAAGGTTGATGAGAATATCATTCTGACTTAAGCTAGTATTACAATTTATTTCCACAGGAACCAGCATACAACATTTCAGAACCTTAAGATCTCTTCTACCCCCTTAGAATTTGTTTGAAGGCATGATATCATACTGACATTACATGTGTAAGTCTGTGGATGGCTGAACTAAAGTCATGGATATATAAATCTGATAGAAGCCAGTCTTTGAAAATAGTCTCCCTTCATGTAATTATCATACCAAATCATGTTACCTAATTATTTACACAGGATACATGTTGACAACTGAGCAAACTTAAATATCTGATGAAAACTTTGATATGTTGCATTTAAATAGTAACAAGTGGACTATGGGTCATTATTATATTATTCCTATTTAAATAATAATGGCAAAAAATATCCTGAAAGGGAATTACAAAACACATTTTCCCAGTGGAGTATTCATTTACAGTATTATATTGGACATCATCAATCTATTTATGTTTCAGTCAAATCCATTTGTTATTTTTCTTTTCTGCTGCAAGATATAGTCAGTTCACCTAAGACTTGATCCTCTTTGTATGCAGGGTGACAAGGGAGAGCCAAGCCTTACAGCCCAGGGAATAAAAGGAGAACCAGGCTCACCAGGACTGCCAGGCCTCATGGGACACAAGGTAAAGGGAAATAGTTCAATGAGTGGATATATATCTGCATATGAGGCAATGCCCGCAACAAGATTAACTTTAACCACTGCTAGAGTTCAAAGCAATAAAAGTATGATATTCCTCTCATAGGGGGACAAAGGCGGCCAGGGAGACAAGGTAAGAAAGACGTAATTTTAAAAGAATGGAAAATTTACATTTTCAGCAAACTTGATCATCATTATACTTACACAAGTTTAGAATGTTTGTTGGGAAACTAAACATTTCATCTACCTATAGGGGGAAGTAGGCCCTGAAGGTGCAGCTGGACCAAGAGTAAGTCATAACTTGCAGGCTCATACCAAGATTTTGCAACTTTTGACATATACATGCAGCACAAATGAACAATTTATAATCACTTTCCTAATGATGAAGGTAACTAATGTATTTTTTCTCCTCGTAGGGTCCTCCAGGCCCAACTGGGGAACCAGGGAAGGCTGAAATCCAAAATAATGAAAATGTATGTTTTGTAATTGAGTGTAATTTTCGCATGTTGAAAAAGTGAATATTATAATAAATTGTAAAACTAACATTTTATATTCCTTCACAGGATATCCGGAACATACCCATGATGGTAAGTACTTTCCAGGCATGAGCCATGACATGAGCAAACACGGTTATACTTCAATTCTTTTAAATTATGTGATCCATTCTCCTCTTAGGGCCCCCCTGGATTACCGGGATCTCCTGGTATCCCTGGTACCAAGGTAGGACATATTTTAAAACAATTTTCATGACACACTAGTCTTCAAAAGTTAATGGCAATTTTTACACTCAGAAAATAAATAGTTCATGTTATGTGTGTCCGATAGCCACATTAAGTTGATAGGAGCCCTTTGAACAAAAAAAAAGACAGCTGGACCCCTTGTCTCTCCTGGCTTAACTTGACACAGTTTTGAAATTATTGTTGTCTTGAATTCAGATGTATTCAGGATTATTCTCTGTATGAGAATACAACTAAAATGATATAGGTTTTAAAAAAACTTGGTGTGTCTTCAGGGTGAAGTTGGACTACCAGGGCCCCCTGGACTGGATGGAGATAAGGTGACAATAATTTATCAGTACTCTGCATTACTAACCAAGCAGTTTTAATGTCACATGTACTGTGATAGTATTCCATTAATTGTGACAGCAAATGGTATGTAGAGATCAGCCTTGATATTCTCTGCCCCTAAGTGAGTTGACACTGACCTCTTATAATTCAGGGACCCAGGGGGAAGCCTGGAGAGCAGGGCCCCGCAGGCCCAGCCGGTCCTGAAGGTCCCAGAGGGGAGGGTGGTGTCATGGGCTTTCCTGGACCCAAGGGAGACAAAGGAGACATGGGTCAATCTGGATCACCTGTAAGTAACTGTTTCAAGTAGAAACTACACCACATCACATCAATGTCTAGGGTTCTCTGACCTAAACCAGAGTTCCTCATCTGTAATTACCCCTGAGGGAAGACCTTGGTTATTCCAGCTGCCCTCTTATTATCTAATTAGAGACTCGCTAGATAGGAGGAGGCCAAGGAATGACACTGGGTTAAACTATTAATTCCCTATGGTGTGGATCCCAAATGTGTCCCAATTTTAAGGTCTATGCTATTTGTAGCCCAGTTTTTCTTTGAGAGCCTTTGGTACATAATGTGCCCTGTGTGTGTTTGTGATAGTAAGCTTTAAGCTATTAGAAAAGGAATGTATTTTTTATGCTACTTGGAAATCTTAGTATGCTTGTTTGTTGTTGAGATAGTATGGGCAGCATGGTTGTTGTAGAAAAAACTTGTCAAGGTTTCAGGGGTGGGCCGTTATCTGTCTTCAATGGTTTTATATGTTTTAAAATAAGGAATGGGGAAAAACAGTATTTCTACATACTTGCACTATATGTTTAATACTTGAACTTAATGTTCTTCAACAACAGTGTTGGATGCTAGGTTTTCTGTTTAAGAACTAATCCCATATGGTCTCATCACATTGCCTACATTTATTGGCTTTTTTATGGCTTACTCAAGTTAAGCAAAAGAGAGTAAAGGTTTATACATAACAATTTATTTAAAAACAAAACACCCCATTGTTTTATCATTCAAAATATTACTAAAAGGGAATCATGCTAGATAATTTTGCAAACGTATCACTTATTGACCACAGTGTATGCTGGACTAAGGCAGTTGCTTTAAAGCTGGGTAAAGCCTCAGTTTTGGATACTGTTGGTGTATTTATTTCTTCCAAATTTTGACTTTAGACCCAAAACCCAGCTATCCCCCATGATGGGGCAATATGGGATGAGCCATTTGAAAGAGAGTATGAGAAAGTAAGCATCCAACAGATTTATATGGGACATTTAATCAATTTTAGAACCCATGTGGTGCAAGTAAAGATGAATGTATTTGCTTTGCATAGACTTCTTCAACAGCACCTAAATTTACTTACCTAGTTTTCCCGTTAAAAAATAGAATGTAGAAAAGAGCTATGTAGCCCCTTGTTCTAATTGGTTTTAAGTTCAGAATATGAATATCAACACTCCATAAAACAAGACTCTGCCAATATAATTTTTCCTTGAGTTAAATGAAGATTAGCGCATCAAATTGGAATTGGCAAAACATTCAACTATCTGCCGTTATTGTGATGTGTATCTCCCTTCCTTGTTCTGTAGGGTTTAGATGGCCCTACTGGTGAAAAGGGGGCTAACGGGGCCCCTGGCCCTATTGGATTACCGGGTGCAATGGTACGCAATGGTGCCCCTCAGGTTGCTTCTCTCTGACCTGGCAAAAGGGGGACACTGTAATGCATTTTGTATTGAAACCTGTGTGAACGTTTTGTGAAAAAAAGTGTTGTATTGAGTTAATTTTACCTTCACAAACTTTACATTTTTTGATGAGGAAATATATACTGTGAACTATGTGTCCATCTATGTCACAGGGTCTTAAAGGTGCACCTGGAGAAGGAGGAAGGTCAGAAATGGTGAGGCTCAAATATTTAACCCACAAATCAGTTCATTGCACTTTTTGGTGAATTAAAGCACAACATGTTTCACAAGCAACCATTTTGAACGGAAACCCATTGCCTTTTTTCTGTGTGTTCGTATTTAGATCTATGGTCCTCCAGGGCCTCAGGGACCTCCAGGACCAGTTGGCCCAGCAGTAAGTTAATATGCCAATGAACAACTCAATTTCAGGACTAGCTTAGACTTAACAGCGTTTTCAGATAATTTCACTAATTAGGCCTTGGTTCAGAGTGATGTATGTATGGCGGATGTATGCTGAGACATACATGACATCCTGACACTTAGCGAACTAATAAAAACTATCATGCTTTAGAATAGAATAGAATAGAATAGAATAGAATAGAATAGAATTACTTTATTGATCCCAAACTGGGAAATTGTGGCGTTACAGCAGCAGGTTATCCAACACACAATATGAGTAAAAAACACAATGTTAGCAAATCTAAACATAATATAATATTAGATACAAAGTAAATAAGTACTAAAAGATATCAAAAATAAGAATGTGACTATATACAACCAGGATTTCACTAAGCATTACTAGTCTTATATAGGAAGATTAAATATGGAATATTGAATGTAAATGTGCAAAAACAGAGTCGTAGATGGTTATAAGTTAAATATGAAAGATTAAATGTAAATGTGCAAAAACAGAGTTGTAAATGGTTGTAAATTAAATATAAAAGATTAAATGTAAATGTGCAAAAAAACAGAGTAGTAAATGGACAGTATTGACATAAGTTAAAGTGCATGAGTGCAGACATATTATAAGCAAAAACTATACAATATAACGGCGAGTAGACAGCCAAATGAAGTGAACATGAGTGCAGGGATAATTTGTAAATTTAACATGTGCAGAACAGGTTACAGTATGGAGAGACAGATATTATCATGATGACAGTTCTCTGCTCGCATGAGGTGAGCTGTTGTACAGAGTTATGGCCTTCGGTAAGAAAGATTTCTTGTATCTGTCCTTGTGACAGCGGAGTTGTATCAGTCTGTTGGAGAAGCTGCTCCGCTGTTTGTCCAGTAGGGTGTGCAGAGGGTGATCAGGATTATCCATAATGGATAACAGTTTGTTCAGAGTCCTCCTCTCTGTCACCACTACAAAAGAGTCCAGCTTGCAGCCTATCACAGAGCAGGCCTTCTTAATTAGTTTGTCCAGTCTCTTAGTGTCACCAGCTCCAATGCTGCTCCCCCAGCAGACTTTAAGTATCACATAAAAGAGTTGAGAGTTTAAAGAACCCCAAATTGCCCCAGAGTGGCATAGCCAGCAGTGTGTCAATGCCTATGATTTGGATAAGATAATACTGATGGGTACTTCACATAGCAGCCTCTGCCATCAGTGTGGGCCATCAGTGTGGGCCATCAGTGTGGGAATGTGGTGTGACTAGGTGAATTTGACAAGTACAGTAAAAGCAACTTTAAGTGGTCTAGAAGACTGGAAAAGTCCAAGTCCATTTACCATTTAAATAATCTATCCATGGAAGTATAATTTTTAAATGATCCTTTAAATTTTCAAAGTCAATTGCCTGTTTGGCCCCCTTAATTCCTTCTCCAGGTTAAATAAAAAAATGTTTTTCTTTGCTGTATTTGTTAATGAGAAAATAGAAGCTGATTTTGGTCCACTGGATTTACAACACCCAGTCTTCTCTTTCTTTCAGTATTTATTGATTGCTCAAACATCTGATGTGGTCAAGCTTATCTCATTATCCAACATTTTTAAATTGCCCCAACTATTTTGTTAATTGTGAGACATACATCATTCAACATGTAGTGTATTCTATCGTCTGCATAAGGGGAATTTGGTATTCTAGTTTACCAATATTTGTTAGACCTTATACCAAAGACCCCAAAACATTTTTATAAAAGGGTTCTTAATACTCTATTGTATTAAATGTAATTAAGTAGGCCTACACGAAAAACAGTACATTATAAATAATAAGCTGTTCATTAACTGGAGCCCCACAAAAAAAGGTTACTCACACATGGCAAACTTGTATTTATTGTACTTACTGTATCTCTTGATGGTCCAGTAATAACTGGTTGTTATTACTGGAAGATATGTAGATACTGGTTGTTATTACTGGAAGATATGTAGATACTGGTTGTTATTACTGGAAGATATGTAGAATCAGGATAGATTGTGATAGTAACGTCCCAATGTTTTGATTCACCTAGGGATCTCAAGGACCTTCAGGGCCAAAGGTAAGTTATAATAGTATAAATATTATCCAACTGCTCCTGATTTTATCAAGTCTACCCGCTTATTCATTGTCCAATCATTGCCATCTTATACATGAGATTGTAAGAATGTAATTCTATTCCAACATATCTTTCAGGGGGAACCAGGCATAGGTATCAGAGGAGAAAAGGGAGCGACAGGTCTGAAGGGCGACAAAGGAGATCGAGGCCATCTTGGACTTCCTGTAAGTACACATAACATCATGTCTGTTCAGAAATTATCAAGCCAAAATGTTGCTATGTATTAATATCAAAGCTTCAAAACATATTGTTTAGCATCATAATATTTGTGCCGAAAACTGATACTGCTTTAACTCTAGTTTAGGCATTTGTTACTGACTTGTGTATTATGTCTCAGGTGTTATTATATCATCATAATCAGTTTCTCAGTTTCCATCAATGTGTTTTTGTTTGTTTGTTTGTTCACACACAATAAAAAATCATTTATCGAAGTCCCTCTGGTGGTTAACCTTGACCTCCTTTACCATATATTCACAAATTTTTCTCTTGGGCTTTAAAACCCTATCAAAGAACCAAGCTTTGAATCATAAGGTGGACTCAATGGAACCACTCAAAAGAGTCAAATTTAGAGCAATCGGAAATTGCATGGTAACTTCATTGTTAATGTCAAACTATGGATAATTTTAAATCTTTGTTGTATTGTTGAATAATATTAAAATAATTCATGATGTGCAAGACTGAGCAAATACCTTTAAAATTTTAACCACTAAGATTACGGAAAACAAGAAAGTTTGCATCATCCTTTTGACAGCAGAAAGCCATATCAAATTATTTGCTTATGGCATACTTTTGTAGTTAATTTGCAATGCCTGTGATTGGAGGAACCATAAATTCCATTTGAAACAGCCTGAAGTTCTTTGGGATCACCGATTTAAGAAAGTTTTAAGTCAAATGACAACACTGACGATCACCCATATTAAGCAACTATGGACTTAGAGCATCGAAAAAAACAACTGAAGATATTTTTCATACTGTTTTGTACAGTGGCCAATGAGGTGGCAAAATTCTGCAACAGGTCTACATTACTTACTCAGATAAAGAAATTGGAAGATGGACAATGGCATACACTTCTGGAAAGTATAAAAATCTGCATTGTGTTACCCTTCACTATTGCAGCTGTTTCAGTTTGAAAAGTATGGCTACGTCAACATATACATACTATTGTATAAAAGCAATGAGGGTTAAAACAATCAGGTTGTTGGGGTTATAAATGACCATCTTGATGACAAAGAATTGATGTCACTTCTATAACTAGTAAAATTTACTGGTTAAAAATTACTCACAAATCACTTTCACTTACTTTAACTCTCCCTCCGCCACTTCCATCACCCGTCATCATCTGAATATGTTTTTTTATGTCACTTGAGTCACAGCTTCACTCACTCCCCCCACCCCCCTCCACCCCTCCCCCACCTTCATCCCACCATCTCCCCCATCATCTCTGCTCTCTAACTATGTACAACGCTATACAGGGGGCTCATGGGTTAGACGGCAGACCGGGTCCTGTGGTGAGTGGTGCAAGTCCTGTTCCAGGCCCATCAGCCTTCTCCTCCTCTTCCTCCTCTTCCTCTTTCTCCTCCACCCCCCCTGCTACACCTTGCTTGATGTCTGCAATGTCTGCTTGTCTTGTCTGCTTGCCTTTCTGCTTCCCATGCTTGTCCTGTCTCTCTTTTTTCTTCCTGAAGTAGCTTTGTGATGACAGGATGGTTCAAGTCAGGGTTCTGAGTTTGCACTGGTTTGAAGATACTACTTTCAATGCGCACATGGCAACTCTGCACAGTATTTATCACCAATTGAGCCTCAAGGGTTAAAAAAAAAAAAACTCATGTAGCAACCAAAACTCTTAAAGAAGTTATTTAAGTGGCCAGAACAAGGTTTATTTAAAGTGTGAGATCCAAACTAAGCAGCCTATTCCATTGCGGACCAAGGACACATCAACTCAGATCTATACATTGCCTGTTAGGCCTGGTGGACTTATTGGCCAGTGTTAGCTCACTGCATACACACAGGTATAAGCATCACTGTATATTTAAAGTGTTAAAATCCAAGATGTGTTAATTGTGGTATAATTCAGTAATAAAATCACATTTTTTTAACTAAGCTTCCACAGTTACATTACTTGAGACTTCATTTATTTTATTCCTAATATCTGTTCAAATTGTCCTAACTGGAATCACTAGTGCAATGTTGCCCAGTGCTCCTTTGAAATGTTTTGTCTTGTATTTGAAACCGTAACAGCGTCAATTCTCAGTCCTCTTCCTGCTTCAACCGTTTCCTGCCTCTCGATCCTCACGTATCTGCAGCAGGCTGCAAAGTAACCTTTGCTAGGAACTTTTTAAAAGTGGCATGCAGAGGTGCCCGTGCTGCATGTTGACCTGTCATACAGTGCATTTGCACATCTGTATTCCATACAGCATAATACATACTGGATATGCCTGAGATGCAAGATCATCCTATCAAATTCTGACTGCTTATTGGACAGAAATCTGAGGCTGTTGACATTTTATTCATTTTCCCTCCTTTTTAACGGTTTTGACAGTACTTCAACAAGCTTGGTGTGTGTTAAGAAAGACAATTGTCTATTAAGACCTAAAAAAGGGTCAGTGATACATATATAATATGACATAATTTCATTTCCACCAGAAAGCTTGTTGATTTGCTGATTTGAAGGTATTTGATAATGATTATTTCTGTAGTACTATTCTCTGTATCAGCTAACAGGTATTGATTTTCTTTATTTTGTAAAGGGTCTAATAGGACCAGCAGGTGTTGCAGGGCCAGCAGGACCAAAGGGAGAGAGAGTAAGTATGGTTGTGTTTGTGTCCTCAATTTGTAGTGAAAAAAATGTAAGTTTAGCTTTACATATTCATTTAGAGAATATAACCCTTACTGTCTTTCTACAACAGGCTGAAAAGGGAGATGCAGGACTACCAGGACCAACTGGGCCTCAAGGCATCCCAGTAAGTCCTTAATTCCAATTTGAATATTCTTCACTGTACATCAGGGATCATCTGTTACTTGATTGAAACCTGTAAGATGACAGACTAAAGACAAATACCTATATGGTCTTAGTTAAGACTTAAGGTTGGCCAGTGTTATGTAATTGACTTTTGTGTGAGTCAAATGTGAGCTGAATGATGCATTCATGAACAGTTAAAAGATGTCTGAACATGTCAGTTCTGTTCTGTTTCACTGAAGTGACACCAAAATAATATATGTATCTAACACTTTTAAACACATCTCTGGTCTTTCTATACATTTATATAACCATATCATTATATATAGTTTGTCTTGACAAAGATTAGTTTAACTGTTTGATGACAATAAGAAGTAATATTATTTCTGCAACAAAGTAAGACGCTGTATTTTTGTCACAGTAAAATTGTCTGTTTGAACATGGCTCAGAATGCGTACAATAAAACAAGCGAAAACATTGGGCCGCATTCATCAATATGTTTTTAAGGAATAAAGAAGAATATGCAATTTTTTGATCCAGCAGATGTCGCCCTTGAACACCAGCATGAAACCAAAATAACTCGAGCTGCATTGTTGTGTTAGCATGCTAATGCTAGCGCTCTTTAGTTTGTTCATAGCTTCACACTGCATGCAAATTTGAACAAAATGACCGTGATCTAAAAACGCTTACGTGACATTCAAATAAGCAGTGAGTACATTATGTTATTTCTTTTCTCTAGTCCCTCAGTTAAACAACTTTTATACGCACGGGGATGAGCCGGCCGTCCGTCCAGCCCATGTAAACAAACTGAAGATACGACTCTGAAAGCTTGGAAAGCATCACAGACAGCAGGACACTCGCTGTAGACAGTCATGACTCACAGAGTTATTTTCAGAGGATATACTTGATTTCTGCTAGGTTTAAGTGAGAAAAAATTGCATATTCTTCCTTTAAGTTGTTCTTAAGAATTATTTTAAGAAGACTCTCCATCAGATTCACCATTGTGTTAAGAAAAAGTGTGTTCTTAAGAATGGTTGGGGAATGAGGCCTAATTTTTTCCAAAAAGCATCTGATTTAATCTCACTGGGTTAAAGGTGCATATCTAATAATTACACATGTATCTTTTGCAGGGTTTAGTAGGACCACAAGGATTCAAAGGGAATCGGGTAAGAAATTACATCTTACGTTTTGCAAGTTATAAAGGGCAGAACGAAGGACTAGGATATGGCTAAAGGAAAAAATATGAAAATTAATTGATAAATGACACATTGATAAGGTCACTTCATTAGTCTTCTTCATTAAAATCATGAACTGATCTTTACTCTTAAAGTCCATATTTAACAAATAACAACAGGTCTGGCTGCTGTTTGCAACCACAACATTATTGAACCTCAGGGATTGTTAGTATGTATCACCTGCCTTGTAAGGCCATAAAAGGTCACCTGCGCAGAGTTACATCTACTTCAAAGACTCCCTCGAGGAGGAGATAAGACATAAAGAGCTGAATATCAATACATCAGCTGTTCTCTTTGATATCAGACTTGAAGAAGGCCAGATGAGTCACATAGTTTGCTTTGGTTAGTTTTTAATGATCCAGAATAATTTCAATCAAGACGTCTTGTGCTTTCCGAGCAAATGTTTTTGTTTTACTGCAGCTTTGATTAGAAAACCTAGGGTCATAAATGCACGCCAAATAAACTTTGAAGGCAAGGGAAAAATAATAAGATGTTAATGCTGATAAGTGGAGATAAGATAAGTGGAGTTTAGAGATTAGACTATAAACTAAGAGATGTCTAATGTTTGTTTGTTAAAACAGAAATGCTTCATATTTCATGAAATAGATATAGACAGAAATAGATTTCAGCTCACGTAACTTTCCTTTTTGGGCTCGCTGTCTCTGCTATCATTGCTCTTTTTCACACAGGCCATTTTCCTCTAATGTCCTGCTCAGGTTGGAAGGCTCAAAGAATCTGATAATCCTGATAATCTTCAGCTTCTCGATTGATCTGCAACTGAAGGGACAATGGATAGCAGATATTCACAGAGCTATATGGCAATATACAGTATTTGAAGCTGAACACATTTTTAATGGTAGGGGCACGTAATAAATGTGTCCCTACCTTACCTACAAATCTCCCAATTATAAGAAAAGTCCATCCTCTCCGTCTTTTGCCTGCTCCACATTCAGAAAATGTGTGCTAAAATGGGTTGTTTGGAGAGTTTCCCTTTGTGACATCACAAAGTGCAGTAACTCCTCCCACAGCTAGATGTTTGTTTTGCCCTCTGAGACAGAATTCTCAACCGTAAACAATATGGTATGGTAGGAGAAAGCCCACATCCCCTTCCAGAGAGGGGGCGTGGTTGAACACAGCTCACTTGTATTTAAAGCTACACAGAAACAGCCTGTTCTGAGCAGGGCTGAAATAGAGGGGTTTATAGGCATGCCTAATTAGGATCAGAGTGGATTTGAGAAACAATTATTTACATTTTTTAGCAAGAAACTTCAAAGACATGTTTTGGGGAGCTCTGAGGCTTCTTTAAACCTGTTTAATTGGAGTATAATATGTGACCTTTTAAAACTATTAGCTTATAACAGACATCAGCTAACATGAGTAGTCAGCCACTTGCTGGATGGTATCACTATTAGCTAGGAAATTGTTGAAAAGTATTGCTTATATTTGACAGAGCTTTGCAACACAATAGGAAATGTATTCCTACCTTAAGCAATGGTCACAAGGGATATTGCTTCTTAGAGAATACAGTAGTAGCTAGAAATGTTAAGAATGGCTGTTGTCTAGCTGTGGGTTATGGATTATCACATTTGTTGTTCTTTGAAAGTCTGTTGTCCCTCCAGATGTTAACGATCAAAAGTCTGTTCAGTTGATCATTTATTAAGAAATATTAACTTGAACACAATATGTGAGTTCACTTAATTACAAATTTAAAATTTGTAATAGTACAGTATTATAATATAAAATACAATTTGAGCTACCAACCTGTGACATAATGTGAAGTCAAAAATGGCTGCTGGATGAATATGGCAAAAAGCGTCAGCTACTGTACAACAAAAGTATGAGCTTGTGTTCATTGGAAGGTATTGAATAAATCACTGTGCACTACCTTCCCAGAATCAAACAGCAGACCCACAAAGTTAGTAACTAGCTAGAAAAATCATAAAGAATTAAGACGCTAATTAGCCAGATACTTTTTCCAATCCTGACTCCTGCTGTAGCATATCTCTGTGCTTCTTCTTATCTTATAAGCTCTAAAAAATAAAATTGACCATGTATTAAGAGGCCTTGAATATCAAAACAGCACTACAAAATGTTTTAAACTATTTCATCTTAGGTTAAAGTCTTTCAGAGAATCTGTTTGAAATGTACAAATACCCTTCCTCTAAGAGAATGTTTCCCTCCCATTAACATGTGCCTCTTTTAATATTTCCATTCCCATCTTTTAAGTCTTCACATTTCATAAGCTCTCTCAGCACTTTCAACTGGTGTCAAGATAAAACAAGCTATTTTAAAATGGACATCTCCAAAATTCTAAATCATAAACCTTATACCTCTGATAAGCCGGCCTGAATGTGGCTCGTCAGTTGAAGGTGCTGAAGACAAAGCTATGGGATAGTGTTGGTGTTTTTTTACTCTTTGTCCTTTGTTCCTTTGTTTCCGCAGGTCTTCCTATCCCCTTTTACCTCCCTCCACCTTGCTCTGTGGCCTGTGGCTCTTTTTATTGCCGGGGTTGCCCTCTCTCCCTCTCACAAACTTTGGCCTCCTGCTTCTCCTCTTCCTCCTGCATTCTAATGTAGTCCTTGGTTAATCTTCCTCCTCTTACACCTCCTTTCTAATTCACCTTATTCCCCTCCTACTACTTTAATATTTAACAGAACCTCTTCCTTGCCAGCCTTTATGCACTCCCTCCAATCACTGACCCCCTTATTCATACCTTTCTTTTCAAGCAGTGCACACCCATCCCAGTCAAAATGTATGCTACAATTTTGGTGTAGTCATCATTAGATCCCTCAAAATGTCAGAGCTGGACATTCTAACATGTAAGCAGTGCCTTTACAAAATGTGCTTATGATTCATTTGTCCTTATTTGCTCTGTTCTGCAAGCTAAAGAAACAAAGCCAATGCACTAAGGATTATAGTTACACCAGTGGCACAACAACACTTCTACAGTAATATTTAGTAAGGCAGCTTAAAGAAACCTTTCTTGGCTATAGTAGTAGCTGCATTAACCAATGCCTTGTCTGATTTTGCCTGTGCTGTGAGCAGCACTCACAGAGGGGCTTTGAGTGTGTGCCAAATGTATTAAACCATTTTAGACAGAAGAAACCTGAAGAAAATAAATAAAACATGAATACAGTTTAGCAGTGATGCTTGGGCAGTAGTGGGAGAGCACTTCAGTCATGCAGATTCCTGTATATGTCCTGTTGTAAATATTGCTTATAGTCTTTTATTTTGATGAGAAGGGTTCTGTTGTTGTGATTCTTCAATTCACTTTGCAGACGCTTTTATCTAAAGCCACGTGCATCAGAGAGAGTGATAAAGCTATGATCAAGATTTATGATAATCTGCAACAACTAATATATTAAGTGTGGTGCACTGATTTAGCATTGCACTCATTTAACATTATGGCTCTCATGGTAGACTTTTAAAAGCAAAATGGATTGATGCTACAGTAGCTCTTATCTCTTTACTTTATTTGTTGTTCTTTACTGTCAAAACCTGGTGCCTACATTACCAACAATGCAACCCAATTACTGCCAGTTTGAACCATAGACTGTATAAAAGAAGTGGACAACTCAACTGGTTAGCCAATGTAGGGGTGTATACTATTCCTAGTGGCCAGCAGGATTTACTTTCGACAAAGATAATTTCATATAAAAAAGATAACAAAATGACCCTTCATCTGACTTGATATGTCACCCTTGCAACATTTTCCATCTGAATTGCTAGTTTTTAGCATTGTTTCTTATTACTTTAAGGCTAATTTATGCTTCATTTACATATGGAAATATATAAGAACGTTTTAAACAATATAAATATCACTTCTTATTTAATTCCACACGTAATTTATGTTGGGATGGTCGTTAAAATATTCATCCAATAAAGGGTGAGGGCTTGCACAGACCTCCAATTCTCTTTTGCTGCCGTTCAACTGACATTCAGTTCCCGTCCGATCTCTGCCCAGCTGTTCTGTTGTAGTGAACTTTCCCTGTTCCTGGGCGAGGTAACAGCATATGTTTACAGTTCCTAACCAATTCTCACAATCTTTCGTCCATTACTGTATGCACATCAAACATAGTTTGAGTCTTTAGAGTGAAATAGCCTATTCACAGTTTAGAGTCTGTGAATTTTATTTTTATTACTAGCTTTTTTTTTTTTTTTGCATCAAGCCTAAAGTTATGAATTATTATAAGCATGGTCACTTCCACTTCCATGGAAATATTACTGCAGCTGGTTGTAATGAGAAGACCAGTTGTTTTTAGTTATCCGTTTGGGGTTGTTCAACCGCCCCTTTCACACCAAAGATTTTTGCAAGGGAATGGCAAGTTGTCTTTAGTCTTAGAGATAAACTACTGACGTAACTCATTCTGTGAGAAACATGGATTAACTAGCTCATTTTGACAACTACTATATTTGCCACAGGCATATAATGTTAAGCATTGATAACTTAGTAATGCCAACCCATAGCTCCCCTCCAGCTCCTCTAGTCCAAATATGTTATCTTTTGGCGTTTAAAAAAAAAAAAAGCAGCATCCTAGGGTTGGTGCTAAATGCAAGGCTTCTCATACGCATTTCAGAAACCAATGGGTGTTGTCACTTGCTATGTCTGTTTGTCAATAAGATATAGGCATAATAAACCACATCTTCCATGTCGTCAAAATATGGTTCTAGTTCAAAATAACAAAGACATTCACAAACTGTTGTTATCTTGAAGGGCCAGTGTAGACAGGTCTGATCAAACCCCGCCCGACAACCAAGATTATTTTATTTGTCAATCTTGAACCTTCAGCCTCAAATGACACTGACTCCAGTCAGACCAGGGCAGACCTGGTCAGTGTCATTTGGAGCCAGAAAAGTTTAAAAATAGCTTCTCCTAAAGGCCCTGACACACCAAGCAGACAGCAAAGAACCAGCAGCGCACGACGACTTGTGTCTTGGCCAAAAAGTTTCACTAGAACCAACCAACCACCTGCGCATGCATGAGGCAGGCGGCGGTAGTCTGTAATCTTCATTCCAAAAAGGGGAAACCGGAAAAGGACGAGGAAGAACGCGGATGAATAAACCTTTGTTGTGATAGAAGGAGACAATTTTCTCACCGCTGTCGCTCAACACTCGTAATATAGGTCATTCTAATCGAGGATAATGTCTGATAAAATTTTGAAAATGGCACTGCCGTTGTCAGCCCATGGTCTTTATTAGTGGAACAAGAATAGAAGAGGCGCTTCCGTATTTCTTCTTGTGCACTGGCTCTCCTGTTTCGCATAACTGAGCAGCCAATCAGAGAGGTTCCTACCCCCGACCGCGACAGCTCACGCCAATTCAACGTGTGGAATCGGCCAAAAAAAGGCCAACTGAGGCCGACAGGTAGCGACGGAGCCGGACACATCGTAAAAACTAGGGCGATGACCGCTCACAGACAGACCGACTGCTTGGTGTGTCAGGGCCTTTAGACCTGTAAACAGACTTTGATGTCTTCAACAATTCCTATCCAAATTAGTCTTTTTCATTTACTTGTAAATTGACCATTCAACATCATTTGACACAACCATTTCTCTTGATCAAAACTGTTATAATTAAAGTTGCAGATTCAGGTCAAGGTTTTCTGAGGTTTAGACACAATAAAGTTCTTTGTTCCAGGTTAGGAAACTTAATCTTCTTGGTAACAGAAACTTTGGGAACAATTAAGGAACAACCATTATCTAGGATAAGAATTCAAACCACCATTGACTCGAGTAAAACATGAAAATATCAAGTCTCACCAGTCAAATTCAACCTTATCTTCTCTTAGGATTCAAATATTTCCTTCCACAATGCCCAGTAGGACTCATATTTGTAATTATGGGCAAACAATAGAGTATCATGGCCATGTGTTAATGCTCCACCACCCAATATGTGCACTTGCTTTAGTCTCTCCTCCCTAACCCCCTCTACTTACCTTCCTTTTCCACTAAATTTACAAATGTGCAAAATAGTTTTTCTTATGAAAATAGCAAAAGGCCAACCAAACACATAAGCAGGCCTTGATAAAAAATAATGTATTTCTTATTCTGTCTTAACTACTTTTATGTCAATCTCACTTGTGAAATCTACAACAAACAAAGATTTGCTTCTTGTGTGGCTTAATAAGGAGGACTAAAGTTTGTCTTTTTAATACGCTGTTGTTTGCAGGGAGAGAGGGGCAAGAAAGGAAACAGGGGGGCCAAAGGGGATAAGGGAGACCAAGGAGCACCTGGATTAGATGCCCCCTGTCCGTTGGTATGTCAGTAGTACAATGTGTAACCAAGAGGCAAAAGGAAGGAGCACTATTGAATGATACTACAACATGTATTAAACGATAACCAGCTTCCTTTTGCCTCTGGTAATAAGTGGTTCTAATCAACCTCAGGAAGGATTTGGTCCAAGTGTCCACAGCAGCCTGTCAGATATGGGATCATGTATGATAGAATGGACAAGATTCCAAACTGTATCCATTAAACCATCCCATGCCTGCAAAGGAAATGTCCCAGCTTACAGATGAAAAGACGTTAATCAGGTGAAAAATTACTTGGACTACAGACCAACTCTTCCTGAGGAACTTTTTTTTTCCAGGAGTCAGGCTGACAGGAACCAGACACCAACTGCTGAAGAGTTTTAAGATAAACCAAAGTATTTTGTCAACTAGAATCCTATGCAGGCCAAATATTTTAAATATCCAAGCCCTTTGAGATTTCAGGATGTTCTTACGCCAGATAAGTAAGGGCCTTGCTGGATATCTCTGCACCAATGGCTCCTTTTGATCCAAAGGAGCCATTCCCCAACCTTGCCTCTTGCTCAGGATTGTGCGTAATTGGCCCAAGCCTGATCTAATACTTATAGATCCAGAAATGTGGAGTGGCAGAACTCTAAATCCAACCCTTATCCCACAGAGATCCAGCCTCCAATCTGCAATCAAAGAAACAATTACCATTCTTCAACTAGAAGCTTTGTTTGCCTTAAAAACTCAACTCAGTGAGCCTAGTTCCTGTCAGTCCCAGGTTGCCTGCATGTGTAGGAAACCTGTATCCAGTTGCACAGTGGAAAGAGGTGGAGATCCTCCTGCTGTGGAGAAGTGGAGGACAAGTACCGGGCGGCTACACGCAAGCTGCAAAACTGGTTTTTAAATGGTTGATTTCACAAACAGGGTTTCCGAGGCTTTAAAGGGGAGAAAGGTGAACCAGGTTTGCCAGGCCTGGATGGGCTGGATGCCCCTTGCCCTGTGGTATGGTGCTCTCTCTTTCCCTTCATTTTCCCAGCATGCCTCTAGCTATTCTTAACCTAAACCCTGATTATGGGCAACCTTAAAACATTAACAAAAACATGTTATGATGGGACAACTATCCCTGTACATGTTTGCATGGAAGGTTAAATCTAATTATATAGCAGATGACTCACCTATTAATAGATTTCCTTTTCTTATTGCTCACCCTTAGAAGTAACATGAGCAAGCCTTTTACTTTGAAAAGTTATCACTGTTTACCTTTGGAACCTTTTTCATTACAACTACTACAACTAGCTTTGCTAACTATGCACGCAGATCTTTAATTCAGACATAAATCACAATTATATAAAATAAAAAAATCTTGAATTGTTATGTCACTAAGAGTACTAGAGTCTGTCTTAATTCACCCTTGTTTTCTAAACTGTCTTGCATGGAGCACCATTTTATTTACATCTTCAAAGGCATCAGAATACCACATGGGTTGAAAGGCAATTGAGATGCTTTTATTTAGTCAAAGCTGGTCCTGGTAAAAGCATGGGAAGCATCATTGCAGCACGGTTCATTTTTATAGCTTATACTTCACATGGTTTCTGATTTTGCTTCCACTGTCTTCTGTCTGCTCTGACAATGGGTTCAAGGTATTAAATATAGAACCTTCTCAGAAGTTGATACTAAATATAATCTCCATGTGCTATAATTTGTCACTGCTGTGGATTGTTATATAAAGCAGATGTGTCATTGCATACCAAAAAGGACAACTAGAAGCAAACAAATGCTTTTTCCGTAATTTCCTGAACACTAGTTCCAATCTGTTTTTGGTCCAACCTACATTTAGTTCCCGAGGGACTCTCCAAATGAATAACAAAAACTGAGATGTAGTCTGGCATTTAGGTGGTTAGATTTAGCATTGGAACCTACTGTACCTTGCCAACTACATCATGGTTCATGGATCTGGTTTTTTAACGTTGGTGAAAGTGATTGATGAAGAATCTGTTTTTATTGATTGATTTCATCTTTACAGCTAATGCTATATCTTTGAATCTTAGCACATCAATGTGTCTGTAAATTCAAGCGTGAAAACTTGGTAAAACTGCTGAAATAAAAATAAATCTTGTTGGAAAATATATTGTTGACCATTGTTACTCAGTAGCAATAGGTAACATCCATTGATTTATTATTATTCCCATAGTCTGCCTTTTCTAGCAACGACAATAGCTTCAGTGCTATCTACCTATTAGTCACAAAGCAGCACTGTTTTCTAGATCAAACACAGTGCCTTAATGTTAAGAAATGTATGCATATAAAGGCTGCTATCATTGTAAGCATGGTCTCATTTGAAGCTATCAATTTTTTGTTGCTAATGAGTAGCAGAGTTATCAGGAATCAACTGGTTCTGGAAGTGAATTTAACCACTGCAGATGTTTCCTTCAAAATCTTTTATGCACTTATACAAAAGTGGATGGTTCCTTTCTGGATAATTCAATAATCCGGCTTTGGTCTCATCAATTTCTTTTGCAAATGGCAATCAATACCCAGTTCTCATGGTTGTGTTAATGGGGAAGAGGTCAGTCATTAGCTCCTTTATAGTTGAAGAACATTTAGAGCTCTTATCATTGCAATAGATTACCAAAGACAAGGACTGATAAATGTGCTGGTTTTTCACATACTGAATTGTCAGTCTTATCCATTAGCAGGGTTTACTACACATTGTACATTCTGGCAACAAAAGCCTTAATGAAATGTAAAATAAATGTATTTTTTCACAACTTCAATTTCTTTAGATTTAAACTTAAGAAAACGAGAGCTAGGATGAAACGTTGACATTTTAAAAATGTTCAACATTTTTAACAATAATACATCGATATAAAATAAAAAATAAAAAAGTACTTATTGATTGCAATGCATGTACAGAATTGAAGTAGGACTTTTACTTCCAGAAACCAGATTGGTCAAACTCTTACCTTGATACTAGATACTAGTCAAGAAAATCTATTTGCCCAATATAAACTGTTTTTTTTAAATTGCATTGTATACCTACATGTCGCCAACTGGCATGATACGTTTTTTTGTACCACCTCAGCACTCACTTTTTTTCACTAACTATCTTGTTCTACTTTGTGCAGGGAGACGACGGCTTACCTGTACCAGGATGTTGGAATAAAGTAAGTCAAAGGGTTTGACACTGTGTTGTTTTTGTTCCCATCACTGTTAGCAACTTACATATTGAATGCTAACTTCACAATGAATTTGGTTTGAACTAACATTTAATATTTTGCTTTCTCCTTGCAGTGACGATAACTATGGAATGGCTTGTGTGATTGTACATAGGATATTTATTTTTTTACTTTACTGGTTATATGTGGAAAAATAAAATGAAAAACTCTCAAAAAGAAATGGCAAAATGTTTGTACAGATTGTTTATTTTAATACATATGATAGTGTTTATGTATTGGATTGTTATATCTATGCATTGTCTTAATATGATCGATAAGTCAAAGTTATAATGTGGCTACATATGCATGATATTTGTGCATAATGTGAACTGGATGATGCTTATTAACTTATTGTATTATGTTGTTGTGTTCTCTTGTAATAGACCATGCTGCACTGAGTTGTGGGGCTGGAAAGATGATGTGTTAACATTTGAAATGTCTTAGTTGAACTCTTCTCTTTGAGATACAGTGTTGAAGATAAACATTGGCAAGCACTGCACTACGCTAATTTCAATTATACTAATTATACAGTGACAGAAAGCTATTTAGAGTAACCATTTTTGTTTTTCAGGCCATGTGGTCATATAGTACTGACAAACCGTTAGCCTTAAAGATCAGACAAATGGCGGAGAAGATTATGAGATTTTTATTTTTCATATAACATCAGAAATGATGTTCTGATCAGTATTAATCTAAATTGGAAAACATACCCAAACTGCTATGGAAATCAGATTAAATACACTTTGCATGATATGTTATGCCCCCAAGAGGAGGAACTCTCAGGGGATGAGCAATGATCAGGAAAACAAGATCTTTATTGTTTCATCTAACGTGTCGTGCGGCTCAAGCTAATTGAAGTAGGGTTGATAGGAATGGCTATTCAAGATTCAGGTCTCTTTCATTTTAAACCCAACACTTGTCCTGGAGGAGGGCGTCAGCCAAGATCTCTTAATCATTTGAAGCTTTAAAGTTTCTGAACGACAGATCCTGAAAACCAAATGTTTAGTTGTACGGCAGGAAAGCAACGGCACTATGTTTTAGCTTCTTGTATGTTGTAGCTTCTGGTTTCAGTTCATTGTAAATAGTGTTGCCACATTTTGCTGACAGCTACTTCTTGCTTCATGGCTGTCAGGCTCTGTGTATTAACTGTAGTGTTTAAGATTGTTTGTTTGTCTGTCCTCTATTCTTTGGCACAGTATACTGCCCATGTTGTTGTATGGAAATATTGCTGCTCCCCCTTAAGGCATGCTGCTGCAATCCTCACATTATCTCATCCATTAATGAAGACAAATGTTACCTGCTTGGAGAGTGGAGACCTTTTTATAATCAAGAACTATAGAACATTTTATCCAAAAGCATTTTTCTGTGGAGCTCATTAAGCTAACCTCATTAACTCTACCGAGTGCCTCAGTGTTGAAGAAATGGACCGACTGGTTGGAGTGGAGCTTGGTCCATTACCTGCTGCTGCTCTTTGACTAAGCTTTGTTTGTGTTATGCTCTGCCTGGATTTGATGTTGCCATGAGAGATTGTTGTTGGATTAATTTCAGCAATAAAATATCCTTTGTGTCCTGTTGCTGCACAGTACCTCACATTAACTCATTACTTAGACACTAGCAGGCCTTCGTTTTGCTGTCATACTGATCATAAATACTTGTGTGCAAATATGTTCTGAAATGTTCTAATTGTTGATTGTGTTCAAAGTGACAATCATTATTAAATAAACATCTCTGACTGGGTTTGGGTTTTGTTCTTAAAACTACAGTTTGTGTAGATGTTAGTCCTGCAAACCAGGTTTAACTGAGGCTTAATCTCATAGAGTTCAGTTTAAGGACAGACAGCAAGTTAAAGTATTTTATTGTGGAGTTTGTTACATTTTTCATTATCAAAATAATCTAACTGTGAAATTACTTTTAACATATTCTCAGGTCATTTTGGACTCTTTGTCACAGCAGATATTTTGGATTGTTAACAGAGGTTCTAACATTTATCAATCAATCACAAAATATTTGTATTTATGCAATGCCAAAAAAAGCATGTATCTGATAGTACAGTGGAGTTTTGAGAGAGAGAGAGAGAGAGAGTGGGAAATGATATGTGGGGAAGGAGCTACAAGTCGGACTTAAACCCGGGCAGACCTCATGGAGGACTATAGCCTCCATTCATGGGGCACGACCTTAACTGCTTGGCCATATGCGCCCTGTCGTCTGGTTTGTTTTAAGTACAAATCTTTGGGATTATTAAAAGGGAAACAGAAGTAATTCACATTTCCAGGTAAGGCAGTGTGAGTTAGCCGACAGAAACCTGAGCAGGACCCTAATGCCAGAACCTTTTTATAATCACCAATAGCCATCTATGAAAGCAGATAATTTAAATAGCCAATTCACATCCTGAAGAAGTGCACTTAGATGTTTAATACACTTGAGTACTGGGAGATGTGAAAAATGTAGCCCTGCATTAATCATAAATTATACACTCAACCTAAGCTACAGAACTGAACTTAAGTCTAAAAAAATAAATAACTGATGTGTCCTTACATCATTTTTAAGGTATTTAGTAAATGATGTACTCATTCTTCAAAAAATGACAAATGGACTAATATTGCTACATCGAACAGAAGCCAAATAAACCAATTTAGTTTGTTCAGTTATATTGGTTTGCTAATTCTCTAGAATGCTAACCTTATTTGATTCCAATATGAGTTTGTGTGTGCATCACAGCATGGACTGAATAACAGCATCTTTTTGTGTGAGCTTTTTAATGGCTACGAAGTTTATATGTCTGAGGAACAAAACTTGATTCTAATGAGTGGATGCAGCCTTTTGGTTTTAAGGGTTAGGTCAAAGCTTAATTGTTTGAAACCTTCATTCTATCTTGTGTCAAGTTTTGGAAAAGTCTCTGACAATAAATGTTCACCCATGTAAAGGCTAATGCAGTTTAACCCTCTTGTCCAATTATGGTCCTTCCATAGTGATGGCCAAAATGTCAGACTTTAGCCTTAAATATGACAGGCCCAGAATCCAATTCTTGGCTATTATTTTTTCATGTTTCTAAAGTAATTTCACTCTATTCACATATGTTTTAAGGGACAACATCCTTTCCAACTGGCTAAGAAGTAGGGCTACCAGAAGCTGTCTCCATGAAGCCACAGAAAGGAAACTTGAAGACATTTGGATATATCTTTGAGTTTTTATCTTTACCTGGAGTTGGCATTTCAACATTTTTCCAGGAGGCTGGACACAGGGCCAGTAATGTCAGCAGCGGTGAGCGCATTCACTTCAATAAGACTGGAAAGTAGAGACACTGCACCATCCTTCGGTTGGTCATTTAAGGCTCTCAGGATGGGACAACCATGCCTGTACCTGCCTTTTGACTGCATACAGTTTTATCTATTTAACTCCTTGTCAAATTGGGGAAAGGGTGGCATGGACACTGTAGCATATGCTATTTGTTGTGTTTGATGTGACATCGATACTGTAACTGTGATTAAGATTTCAGAGCAGCTCACAGAGCAGATATAGATGCCATGTGTTTCCATGAAAAAAACAAAAACAAAGGGATACCCTCTTGATGATTCCTTCTTGATATTAACTCACTCACTGCCATTTCAAAAATCCCTTTACCTGCAGCTATGACATTTGTATTTAATGATTGTGCTGTACTTTAAACCTAGCATCACACATCATGCCTGGTTTCATGTATCGTATGATATTGTATGATATTTCTTTTTTGTATTGAGGTGTTAACAGACCGATTCAATGCTGTAATTGTAATTATTATGTAATATAAGACAAGGGATTGTATGTATAAAAGTACTCGATCTTTGTAAATAGATTGCTTTGATGAAACATGAATTTACATGCGGAATAGGCACCGAATTTCTCAAAGGGCAGTTTTCATGTGCATTGACACTTGCATCATATTGACTATTGTTTCTTGACACATTTTCAAATTTAAAAACAACTTTGGCCTCTTTTCTCTATCACTTTTCAAGGCTTTACTTTGTCACATTTGAATGCAACAGATATAAAATCTCTATAGCATGCAATACGATCTATTGCGTGAAAAGTATTTGTATTTTCTGACCTATTCAATGTCAACAGATATTTTTCAGTAAGTCACAAATTTGTCATTCAAAAGAAATGCCCTTTGTCGTGTTTTAAAGACACAAGAAGCCTGTCCTGTTTCATTGAAAAATCAGATTGCATTCCTTAAGTCATTTTGACAGCTGCCTTGCAAACAGACCGGGGTCAAAATGGTGTTTGATTTGTATTTATTCTTTATTTTTTCAGTGTTTGTGAACAGTTGTTTGAAATAGAAAAAGAAATCTATGAAGTTTCATTGTCTCAACAGACACAGAAACTATGTATTGTGTAAACTGTACTTGTTAGTTTTTTAATTTCAGAGTTTAAATGGATGCAGCCTGAAAACTGAACAATTCAAACACTGATTTAGTATCAATATCACGCTAATCTTGTTCAATACAGACAAATATCTCATGTTAGCAAAATTACATCAACTCAAAGAGCTCGAAGACTGCAGGATCATAATACACAGGCAGAAAGACAAATCACAACCAAGATCCTTTTCCCTATCTGGTTGTGTTTTGTGTATATGTGGTAACTTGATGTAATTGGGTGTTACATATTTGATTTGATTTCTGTATTTGTCTGTAAACTTCTGGGTTATCTAAAGTTCCAGCGCCCTGAGCTCTTTCAGATATCAAACAAATAAGGAATATAACAAGGATTCCCAATTTAGAAAATCTGATATGTTTAAAAACTTAAGTAAAAATTGGTCATTTAATGCTTACAAATTTTCAAATTGAAGGATTCATTTATTTCAAAGATAATCTCCCTGAGATTTTCACAGAATTGAACATGTTACATCTAGATGTTTCTACGTAGCTTCGGCTTTACATTTCTATTTTGCACATACGTTAAACTAGCACAGTTTCATAAAGACAGAGAGTTGGTCATTTATTTAATTTACTTTCAGCCTAAAGGGGTGAAAAAGTGTACTCTCTATGTTATACACTGAAAACCGGGCAGACGTGGAAAAAAATACGTTGTGCATGATTTTAAGGTTAGAGAATATTTGTTTTTATGTTTTAATATTTGAATATAACTTTTGATCATCATGTATGTGAACTCATAAAGGCATTATTTGACTTATTTTACATGAACTGTATGCATTAACTCTTTGTATCAAAGTTGTAACTGTGTAACATGTGGTTGGTTTGACAGTTTATAATGGCAGCCTGTGAAATATGTAACATACTTTATTTGATTAGCTTTGGGGGAAAGCCATAATGCAATCAAACAATTTTCAAAAAGTTTAATCAATTAGGACAAAATAAGCCTGATAAGCCAACCTCCTTTTTGTCCCACTTGAAGAAATCTGTTTGATATCAAGCTTTTGTTTTCTAGTTTCTATTTGGATGAGTTCCGAGTTTAGAATCTTGCCAACCAATCATTACAATAATTTTCAAAAAATCTAGAAGTCCTTGTAGCGGATCCTAGAAACTGCATCTGGCTCATCCACATTTGTCAGTATATGTCTGGCTATTTTTACTGTAACATGCTAGCTGATCACACAGCTTCTTGTTGGCATCTCATATTAGACGTGAAAACATCTTCTGTAGCTTAAAACAGCTAAGTCAACTGAAAGTGTTTGGCTGAATTTGAAAGTGACCTGTGACAAAACGACCATTGGTGTCTTGTTGTCCTTTCACAGTCTCATCCCAGTTTTTTTTTTAAATTGTGCTCAGGTTGAAGCAATAGCACCCATACTGTCAGAATGGAAATTGTTTTTATGGAAGATTTGAATTGCAGCAACAAAAAAAATCTGAAAATTACATCTAATGATGTTCCTTGTCTGTGTGATACAAAAGAACAAAGTAGGCTTGACTTAAGCTACAAAGCCATCAGCAGTAGCTTACACTGGAGTCTAGGGCAGGCATTCCCAACCTTTGGTTCCCAACCCCAAATGGGGTTACTTGGAATTGAAATGGGGTCCCCTGAAATTTCTAATTATTGATCAAAATGAAATATATTGGAGCATCCTGCCTTGCATTGGATGATTGTATTGGATGATTGCATTGGATGATTGCATTGGATGATTGCATTGGATGATTGCATTCAAAAAACTCCCAACTTTCATTGTTTAATATTCTAGCACAGCATTGTTGTTCTGCAATTTTGTATGTTTAACTCGAAAAAATGAAAGAAGAGTAGAATTTAGTCAAAAATGTGCAGCCAGTTGCAGGCTGGTATGTTCAGTCTACATCTACTTAGTCAGATGGCTGAGATTTCTAGACCTCACTTCAGCACTGCAAAAAAGTAGAACACCATCAAACTAATAATCACAATAAACCTGTTTTATTTGATCGAAATAGATATGATGATGTATAATTAGTATGGTTTGTTTGGTTTGAAATTCTGTACTTGTCAGATAAGAACAAGATCTGGATAGGAGGGCATTATACAGAATTTGCATGTTATTTTTCACCCTTATGAAGCACTATTTACATTTGTTTTTATCTTTTTTTCCCCTCTATTGGTGATGTTACATAAGTTGCATTTGATGTTTTCTCTCGACATTCAATCGAAATCTGTCAGCTGAGTGACATTTTCTGATTTCTGTGCTACCACAGCATTGAATCGAGACATGTAAGTTTGTTTTCCAAGATTCAGTGTGACTTCCATCCACAGGCGAGGTATTCACTGCAATCCACATGTGAGTATCTGTGAGTTCAGTGTGGTGTCAGAACTGAATGTTTTTCTTTGTTTTCCAAAAGATTTTATTTTTACTTTTTATAAACAACTAAGGGCAGCTGTTGTCTCTGATTGCCAAACAGGTTCACTGTTCAGTACAAGTACAATTTTGAAGCAATTTGCCACTGACTCAGAATCAATAAACCAATATTTAATAGAATAAGTTCATGTGTTTTTATGTTCAAGCATTTTGTTTGTGGTTGTTGAGTTTTTTTTAAACTGCAGAATAAAAACAATCTCTGGACTTGCACCTGACATAATCCTGCTGGAAGAAAATGTTCTGCAAAATCACAGTTTAATGTAAATGTCTCTCTACAATATCGGTGCATGGAAATAAGTATTCTATGATCTGAAAGGAGCAGGGGTTAAATGTAACCATCAAATCGATAAAACAATTGGAATAAATGAAGTCTAGCCTTCTGACTACTCAAAGTGCGTTCAAACTGCAGGTCACGTCTACCAGGTAGAGGCTTTAAAGTCACCATCAGTATTAGTTTATACCATACATACACATTTATATGCCACTGAAGAAACAGTGGGAGCAACATGGGGTTTAGTGTCTTGCCCAAAGACACATCGGACATGTGATTGCAGGAGCTGGGAATCGAGCCCCAGACCTTCTGGTTGAGAGAGGTTGCAAATTCTACATAGATCAGCCATTCAATTCTGCTCTGATGAAATATAGATGGACAACAAACCTTTTTGTTTAAGATAAAAACCATTACCAGTGATTTCATAGATCAGGTATAATTTAAGGACATCAGCCTTTAATCATCACAGCATTAGGTACTTTATGCCTACTCCTTGGCGTCTCTCACAGAGGAATTTTCTCCTGTTGGGTCCAGTGGTCTAGATCTGATCTTTGGTGGCCACAGCTTTCCTTAAGGGTTATCTTTAGTGAAAGGTTGCTTATGCTGGGAGATAGTCGCAGACAGATAGTTGCCGACAGCAAGACCAAGCAAGATTATCTTAAACTGTTCTTAAACTGTTTAATAGGGCTGCTGTTAGGCCAAGGATGACCCTTTGAAATAATACATGTGAGTTGCTGTCTTTGCCAAACGGATTGTTTTTTAAATGAACTAGTTGTGTTATTTTTTTTTTTTATAGTTAACATATTTTGATTGTACATAGTTTTGGACGTTACTTTTATGTGCTCAATACATAAAATTTGATTGGACTGTAGTTCAGGATTTTGCAGAAAAAAATAACCAATCAGAAAAGAAGCAAATGCAAAACCCAAAGACAATAAATATTGTTTAAGGATGAGAAGCAGGTGGAGTTTGTGTTACATGTTTGGGGGCAATGGTACATGGACTTGAACTTGCACCACAGTAAAATGTGTAACATGCATGTATTCAATTACTCACAACATTTGTTAAATTTGTTAAATTTGTTAACACCCCCCCCACACACACACACACACACACACACACACACACACACACACACACACACACACATACACACACACGCTCTCATTGTGTCATACACCACAAGACCACCAGGGGTCGCCAGATACTTCCACATTATCAGAAGATCCACTTGTTGACACAATTGAGAACGGTGCAGGAGCTCTTCCAGTTCAGATGGATGTCAGTGTGCTTCTCGACTGCAACCAAATAAGACTCCGCTGATTTATAGTGGAAGGATGCAACAGTGAGTCGGTCCTTTACAGCATCAAGATAATCATTTTCAACACCTTTCCTAGCAGCTCTGTGAGTAAGTAATGCATAATTCTATTTCTTCCTAAGTAGACAATGAATTTTGGTTAAACTGAAGGCTGCATTCCTCAAAAACCTGGATTGGGACTTGGGCTTATGGCCAATATGATAAACTTGCCAGGATGGTGTATATGTGTATGCATAGCTAGTTTTGTTGATGAAATGATTAAGAGATGATTTGATCAAAAGTAAAAAAAATAAATAAAAAAAAAAAGGCAGTCAGATGATGTAGATTGATAGATTTTGTTTATTTGAGAAGCTTAGCAACACTAATACATTAACCTGAGTATTGTTACAGTTATGGCAGATGATAACAACAGAAATAAAAACCCATTTGCCCATTTTATAAAGCCATATGTCCTTATTTTATAATACGATATGTGGTAATCTTGAGTCTAATCTAAAGTGATTTTTTTTCTGTAAGCTAAATGTCCCAATTATTTAACCAACAGATGGTGCCGGTGAGTTTTTCAGCTACAATGAGTTGCCTCATCACTTTGACAGCAGTGTCTTAGCTATATGATCTATAGCTTAATGCTTTTTTTGTCAATGAGCACTGAGTTTGTAGTAGCATAGGCTGATCAAAGAAAACACTGTAAGAAGTAGAAGCTGCCAACGTGTTCATCCTGAGCCATTATTAATTGATGAGTAGGCCTATTGGTCATTTTTATCCATAACATATGTTTGCACTGAAGACTGGAGGTATAAAAGAAGATAAGGACGCCTTCACTGCTGTGAGTTTGACCTGAGGGCTTTTCCTATGGTGGCCAGCCAATGCCTGGCCATGGGCAACGGTTCAATAAAAGCCCCAAAGGCTGAGGAGAACAGCTGCCTGGCCTCCATCCACCTGGACCCTACTGGCCTGGAGACAGAACTCAGGTTAGAAGCTCATGACACCATGGTGGAAAACGTATTGTTAATTGAGTAGCCTACCTATACCTAACTGTGAGTCCTACACTAGAGCACAGATTGGGCCCAAAAAATCAAGCCTGACTGACCCTCTTAGTAACTGTATTTATGGACCAGAGCCCTACTAAACTACATCTTTTTCGCTTTAATAATTTAAGTTTTAAGCTGTTTGAATGATAGAAATCTGTTCAGATATGCACAAAAGCATGTAATAGGTTATAGTCTTTTTTAAAGCAGTGTATTTAGTATTAGGATCCCTAAAAACACAGATTAAAACACTTTGATACTGACAATTTTATAAATTTTCTGCTGGTTCCCCCGAGCAGCTGTTTGTCATTTCTAAGCGGTGATCTATCTGTGTGAGTGTATCTCTATTCTGTACACTTAGCTGTGGACGTGGGCCGAGTTGGGTTAGGAATGGGCAGAGAATGTGAACTCTCTGAAACAGTTGGGAGATTACAAGGTGGTGAACCGCCACCTTACCGTGTTGGAGGTTTGTGAGTGAACATGGGAACTGTGTTGTAGGGAATGATGTTTTTTTTTTTATTAAGGACTACATCCAATATATTTTCAATCTGAGAAAGAAGAGTTTTATTATTTCAAAGAGTTGATATAAACTCAGGTCAACATCTGGATATTTGTCTTTTCATATTAGATTAAACACATTCTTTTACTCAGGATGAGGATTACTCACCTGGAGGCAGAGCTGGCACATCGGAACCAAGAATTCAGAGCCCAAGAGATTCAGTTATGGAATCTCCAGAGGGAACTGGAGGCCAAGATCTCCCAGATTGACAAGCTCCAGGATGCTATTGGCTACAACAGCCTGTGCTGCTCCTCGCCAGCCTTGTGTCGCCACAGCCACCGACGTTTCAGTGTCATCAACCAGGGGTCAAACCGCTTCCACAAGGTAGCTGTGGAGGTCCACCGCAGGCTCAAAGCAAAAGAGGGCGTCTCTGCTGAACCCACCTCAGAAAACTTCTGTGGCGGGGGCAGGGCGACAAGCATCTCCATCGCCAAGACCATCCGTAAAGATTCAGGGTAAGTTAAGAGAAAACCGGTCAGAAATGTATGCTTTGAATGAGAAACACAGACTCTGTAGACTTGAAAGTGACTAAAGCTAAACATGTTCATTCCAGGCCATTGATTGATTTCGCACAAAAATATATCAACCTCTGGGATCTAATGTCCACACGTTCTTAATTTGGTCTAACAATCCTTTTTCTGAGGTTGAGAATATCATAAAATTATGATATACAGTAGGAAATGTCAGACAGAGTAAGAGTGGAGTGACATTGCAAAATGTGCCAGAAGCTCTTTCAGTTTTAAGAATTGATAAGACACCCCTGCCTGGAAGTGCCAGACGTCTCCTCTCCTCCCATCTTTGCTGCTTGACTGAGCTCACTGCTGTAGCCTTACATGCTGGTGAAAATATGATCCCAGCAGTAAACAAATCAGTCTGCTGGGAATTAAAAAAATACAAAGAAATACATCCGTTTTAATAGGGGGATATATTTAACCTTAATTAAATACACCAAGTTCTTCAATTGTGTCAAATATATGACAACTGTTGCATTGTTTAAACAGTTGGATTAACCATGTTCTACCCATAGATATCATTGGCAGGAGGACGGGAGAGCACTGCGGAGCCTTTGTAATATCACCGACATCTAAAAGGCTCTATTAGCATGGCAGCATAACAGAAATGGAGGGAAACAAAAGGCCTCAGAATCAAAATGCAGGGGGTGGGTCATTATGGGCTTCAATTACACAACCTCTGCTGCCTCCCTTGCCCACTACTCTAAGATCCATTCAGCTCGCTACTTCACTGAATGCTAGAGAAAATTATCCGTGTGATGTGCTAATCAGTGATTCACAAAAAACAGTCTCAAGGGAATCTGCAAATAAAATGAAACTGCACAATTAATGCAGTGGTCTAACCTAGGATCCAGATATGCAAAGCTTTATCAGTCTAGTGGCGATGTCTGATTAAAACTGTTGAGAACCAGCGCTGATATAGTATCAGATATGTTTTTGAAAAATGAAGCTAATTCCAGTATCAAATTCAGAGTATGATAAATGAATAGGAGAGGTCTGCAGTAACAACAACTAATGCTCTTTAATCTGAACACAGAGAAAATATGATTCTTCTTCTTTTTATTTCAAACAGGCATTTAACCTTACTGATAAGAAAGTACATTTTTTTGTCCAATTTGGGTGCATATTAGGGCCCGACCGATATGAGATTTTTGGGGCAAATATACAGATATCGATATTGGGGGGAGAAAGAAATCTGATACCGATAAATTGGCCGATATCTATCTATGACATGTTCAATCTGTAGAGCTAAATAGATTTAAATAGACACATTTATTGTGTTTATCCCTTAAATGGAGTTATCAAACACTTGTGAAAAAGATTTATAATGAAGACGAGATGGTCACTCAACTAGAAAGTAACTGCCCATGTACATAAATCACACTTGACACTCTGAAATGTGATGATGCTTGTTGTTATCTGTATAGCACACTCTGTTGGTGACAGCCAGAAAGAGAACTGCTAGTGTAATACAATGATACTCAAATAAAATGACATTTGAACAGTGAATAAATCTGGTAATATCTGCACATATGTAAGATAAAATAGTCACTGGATAAGTTAATATTGGCCGATTAATCGGTCGGGCTCTAGAGCATAAACAGGCTAATTGACTTTATTTGACTTTGTCACTCTTTGTTTCTGTTTCCTCTCTCCATCTCAGCACCAAGAAACTCATCAACAGTGCAATCATGAAAAATGACTTCCTTAAGAAGCTGGAGGCTCAGCACATGAGGGAGATGGTTGACTGTATGTATGAGAAGGTCTACACTGAGGGCCAGTTGGTCATCCAAGAGGGGGAACCTGGAAACTACCTCTATGTCCTTGCAGGTCAGCTCAGCACAATGTGTGGCGTAATGTCATTTTCATTACATGTTAAAATACATGTAAGTAGGCCTATAGCAACTAGATTTTGAAAAAAATCATTTTGGGTGGTGGAATGAGCAAATTCAACCCAAATAGCACTTTGCAAAAGTCTTTAGCATGTGATTAGCAGGATCAAATTAAGCTGTATGTTAATGTAGTTTTAAGTTACAGTTGAAGTGTTTGTATATTTTACATTTAGAAGTATCAAAAGGCTTTGATTGAAGCAATTAAAGGTACTGGGTAATTAGTAGCACAAGGTACGCAGTATGGATGCAAGTTACACACCTATAGGAAGGGCCTCTTTGTGACAACTACTGCGAGGGCTACTGTCTGGTAGAAAATCTAAGACAAATAAAAAATATACAATTTGACAGAAAAAACAAAATTGGATTGCCTTCCAGAACCATGGACTCTAATCCACTCAGGTTTTTCAAAAGTCACTATTGGTTTGTTGAGAGCCAAAGGGGGGCCAAGTTTAGACAGATAGATCAGGGAACAGTTGATATTGTACAAAAATAATAATAATTTTCATTTTTACCACAACATTAAAGTTACTTTAAAGCGTGTCTGTGTTTTCCTCACTGTAGAGGGCTTGCTAGAGGTTATCCAGAATGGGAAGCTTTTGGGGGAGATGCGGCCTGGCACAGCATTCGGAGAACTGGCCATCCTGTACAACTGTAAGAGAACAGCAACAATTAAATGTGAGTAAAAAAAAGCTATTTTTCTTAAAGGTAAACTCAGTCATGGTTCTTCACATGTATCACCTCTGGGATTAAATACATGCATACACTCCCTGGAGCTTGTGTGTCAAATGTATTGTGTTTGACAAGCATGTCCATATCATGTGTAACACACCTACCCACTGTATGGTGCATGAGCAGATGATAATTCTCAAAGGGCAACATTAAATATATATTTGATACTTTTCTAGTCTTCTGAATACTCAAAGCTCATTTTACACCGCAGATCAAATTCCCCTTTTCAAACCATGTTAACCCACTGATGTCAGAGGCTGCTATGTAAAGTGTCCATCAGTCTTAACTAATCTCAGTCATACAGATTCACAATGATGCAGCAGCAGGTGCAACTTGGGGTGTATTGCCTTGCTTAAGGACACTTGAACATGACTGCAGGAGCTGGGGATTCGAAACCCTGTATACCTTCCAGTTAAAAGACCAATCGACTCTGAGCCACAACCACCCAAATGTGTATAACGTACAGAATATGGTTATTGCTTACAAATCATTTTCCCCACATGCAAAGTGGTAATGATTTATTATAATGCTGCAGCTGCTTCTGAACAATATAAAGTGTCTCACACATTCAGTAGGCCGAGAAGAAACTAAGCTAAATATAAAGGTTGCTTCCCTTATCATTAAACACATAAAATTGTGTGACTGTACTAAAACTATCAAATCATTATTAAAAAAAAAACCTTTTCTTTAAAATGGCTACTGAAAGGGAAAAACTTCATTCAAAATGTTGTTACCTAAAACAATAAAATGCATACTAAAGATAAATGGGTTTTATTTTGAATCCTAACATACTGCTAAACTCACCTACATGCCCAAGTTGTCCATGGCATGAGTTTGGTATAAATACTCTTATTTAAGTATTTTTATTACAGCACACCTTTTTTTTTTTAAGTTTAATTATATCTCTGATAAAAACATACAAGCTAGTCCAGTCCAGCAATTTCATACGGTGGTGATGTTATGTATGCAGAAGAACCAAAATGTATTTTTTTTTAACAGAATGGAGATTTTTAAAAAAACCTAATCCAATTATTTTTTCTTACAATTTCATGTGATTTATGAGGAAGGGAAACACATGTATCTCCTCACCATGACATAACCCAGTGCATTAAGAAGGACCCCTCACTCTTCTCCTTAGTGATAAAACAATGTGGCTAATGAGTTGTTAATTGTTCCGCTCTCATCCAGCTGTGTCCCAGTCTCACATCTGGGCTCTGGACCGTCAGACTTTTCAGACCATCATGATGAGGACCACACAGGCCCGACATGAAGAGTACTTCAGCTTTTTGCGCAGGTAAACGCTCACACAGAAGTCTCTATGTGCCTTCTCTGAACTACAAACAAACCAATGTCCACTGAGGTTACCATTATATTCCTGATTCAAAAAAAGGGATTTAGTCAATGCAGTACATAAGCTGTTGTTTAAAGGCATCAATATAAATATTTTCATTGATGGGCTGGATTTAGACTATGTTAATGTTGACAATCATTGAGCCATCATGTGGTTACATCTTGTGATATGGAAGTTAACATTTAGTTATTTAGATCTTTATTATTGTTCATAGGATTTCCCTTTTCAACAACCAAAACATTTAGGGTCAGGATATAAAGTGACAAATAAGAACTAAAACTAAAATGCCACTAGATACTGAATGCTCAGTGAGAAGGGCAGAAAGGTACTCTTGTATGCTTGGTGGGCTAGTGCTAAATGGTATAAGTGCAGGTTTCACTGAGGTTTGAGTTTCTATATCTTGTTCCTACAGCTAAAATCTTAATGACGAGCATGCAGACCAGGAAAATGTCTAGGTTGATAAACTGTCAGGAAAAATTGGTTGTTGTGCATTATCTCAACAAACTGCCTTAAAGTCTGAAAACTGTGGATTTGTTTCACTTGAAGGAATCTTTTCAAGCCATTACTTGTTTTACACATAGCCTTAAATTAACCCATATTTGAGTTAAACAAAGACAAGTTGTTCTGATTTTAATAATAGGCCTAAGTGTATTCTGTAGATCATTTTTCTTACAGAATTGAGAATCTATTGAGTAAATAAAGAATCTATTGAGTAAATAAAGAGAACTATGCATTAAGTTTTAACAATAGTTATATATATAATTATTCGTTGTTATTAGATAAGACATCTCAGGAAAATATGGTCTTTAATGTAGTAGCTGAATTGAGCCAGAACGAGTTTGAGTTTCTTCTTTTGCTCTTCGTGTAACCAATCCCGACAGCTTCAATGAGTGTGTGTTTTTCTTCTTGTGAAGTGTATCTCTGCTGAGAGGACTGCCTGAAGAGAAACTGGCCAGGATTGTTGATTGTCTAGAAGTGGTAAGAAAGTGTCTCTTACCAGTTATTTTTCCTGCTCTGACTTAATTTCAATTCAGATTACGAAAGAGGAAAATATATTGACTGACCTGTTGTGTTTGCAGGACTGTTTTGAAAAAGGGGAGTATATTATTCGAGAAGGTGAAGAAGGGAACACGTTTTTTATCATCGCCAATGGAGAGGTGAGATATCCAAACAATCTTTACAAACATGCTATATCAGAGGTTTGACATTTCTAAATAGTCTAACATTCCTGAGTATTAAGGCTTTGGAGCAGATTTGTGTTAACTATGTGATAACCAAACCAAGAATGGGTAGGAAGGTTTGCTCAGCCCAATTAAGGTGAAAAATGACCCGATCAATCATTAAATCTTATCAAATATGTTTTCAATTTATCATAAAAAGGTCAAATCATTGTTTTCTGGTAGTCTTGGCGTTGTCCATGAAGTACCTGGACCAAACAGGAGACATTATTTCAAAAGTTAGATTCACATAATGTGTTTTACTTTTGGTTTCTGTATAGTTTTATCATCAGGTAAATGTTCTACACGCTACATCAGCATAACCTACACATATTAAAATTATTTGAAACAGGTGACTGACTGAAAAGCAATTTGTTGCAACCAACTGTTTATAGACCTCACGTCCGCAATGTAGATACTACAGTTAATTTGTGAATCAATCTGCTACCCCACAGTCTGTGACTTTGATCTGTTGAAACTTAAATGGGATACAGCAAAAATTCAGCCTTGTGCATTTTCAATCATAGCTCAGTATTTTTTTTTAGGGGTGATTTACAGACTACACTTGTATACTGAAGAATTTGCAGTTTGAGGTTTCACATGAGGCAGAGCAGCATAAATGTATTTATTGTTTGAATTCACCAGACATCCTGAAGGGCTCTATCCTGACAGGATCTCTCCTGATGTAACCTCAACATTTTCTGTGCTACACATCATTAGGTTATGGCTTACTTATTAGTTAAAGAAAGGTTGTAAGTGTTCACCTATTATTGCTTTCTGTCTGTAGGTCATTGTCACTCAGAGCACAGAGGGGTTTGCTGAACCACAGGAAATCAAGACTTTGGGAGTTGGAGACTATTTTGGAGAGAAAGCTCTGATCAGGTACAAACCACAACTCCATTCATGACTAAGGATACAGCATAGGAATTTTAAATCCAAGATATAACATTGATATGTACAGGCCACATATTATAATCCTTTCAAAAAGTTTAAATGAGTCTCAGAGCTCCCCAAAACAATTATTTTCAGTTTCTTAAATCCACTCTGATCATGTATTTGATCATGCCTATAAACCCCTCTTCTCCAGCCCTGCTCAGAACAGGCTGTTTCTGTAGCTTTAAATGCAATGAGCTGTGTCTGACCACACCCCTCTCTGGAAGGGTTTGGGTGGCTCAGCACCACAAATGTCCAAATGTTTAAGGTGAGAAGGCAAACACAGAGGGTGAGAACAAACACCTAACTATGGGAGTGTCACCAACCTGGGGAGGGGTTACTTCCCTTTGTGACATCACAAAGGGAAGTAACCCCTCCCACTTCAAATAGCCTGTTTGAGCACACATTTTTTGACTAGTGGAGCAGGGAAAAGATGTTGAGGATGTCATTTTCTCATAATTAGGGGGTTTGTAGATTGACAAGGGACACATATTAGTGCTTGAAAACATGGTGGAGTGTATTTTGCATGATATCTTACCTTTAACTATTTTATTTGTTCTTGAACATACATTTACAAAGATGAATGAATAACAGTTAATGTGGTGCACTGGCTTGTCCAGTGTGCTTTGACTTGAAGACACAACCATACACTGTATACATAATGTATGTTGCAATCCTTGACCACTCATAAGTTTGTCAAATACCCTTTTGAAGCCTTGAGTTTGGCTTACATTAAATGATTATCTTGCAATTGAGCTAGATAACCAACATGTTTCCATAGAATTAGATTCCTTGACTTGACTATATTTTGTGACTGAATAAAGAGACAACAGAACATTTGTAACAGCTGGATCTCTGTTGTGGGATTTTACTAAATGTACTCCAGGACATTCAGAACATACTGTGCCTTCAACCCACAGCCAGCAGCAGTACATATAACACAGCTATGTGACATGAACACACTCACCATCAGTATGTTCGATTCCGCTTGATGCTGTGGGATGTTCAATCACTTGTGTTCTGACAAAGACATGCCTCATCACACTGCATAAATGAGTGTGTGTACATATTTTGTACAGTTTTGGGCTGTGTGTGGTTGACTGAACTGTACATGTTTGTTTGCAGTGAGGATGTGCGTTCTGCAAACATCATCTGCAGTGAGAACGACACACACTGCCTGGTGGTGGACAGAGAGTGAGTAGCTGGAAGCTGTTTAAATGGCATGTTGTAACCACAGTTTGACCACTGTAACAGACACTTTAGTTAAGTGTTATACGGTTAACTTACAATTGATGATAATGGATGATTTATTTTGAAAACATTTGAAATATTTTTTGCTTTCTGTTGTGATTGCAAATTATTCCTTCATTTCTGTGACAAATGATTCCAATGGCGTAAATAAAGGAGGCTTTAATCTGCTAGTGAAGTTGTTCTTACTCCCATCAGTAATTTCAACCAAATGGTGGGAACTTATGAGGAGCTTCAGGCTTATCTCAAAGAATATGTGGAAGAGCTCTCCAGGTGTGATGAGAGGAGAAATGCTCTGTGAGTGCTGCTTTTTTCACTTGAAGTTATCTTTTGCAGATTATCCCTGCTAGGATTGATAGTGAGAATTGCTTAGTAACTGTTGTCCTGTGTTGTTCCTTGCGTAGGCCTTACTCACCTCAGATTGACTCTGCAGAGGCTCAGGAGCTGAGGAGGCTGAGGGAGAGGATCAGCCTGCTGCCCCCACAACAGCCTTTCCAGGAGCTTGAGATCATAGCTACATTGGGCATGGGAGGATTTGGACGAGTGGAGCTGGTGAGCTGCATAAACAACAATATCACTACTATTACATTTTATCAGTCAGCCCTTTTTATATGGAGTTAGATCAGTCTCAATATTCACGAATGCACACAGAAGGATTCACAAATGTATTTCAATGCACACACAAATATATTTAATTCTTTATGAATGTAAAACAAATCCACAAATAAAAAAATAAGATTCACAAATGTATTTCTGATTCAGACACAAATTTTTATAGTTTTGTATATATGTAATAGAAATCAATGCCCACATTCCCGACCTACTCAAAACGGCTTTGTGACCCATTATTGGGTCGATCAGTTGAGAACCACTGCCCTACAGTACCATGTAGAACTTTACCTTGCTGTGATGAACCACATTATATCACAGCACATTAAATCAGAATGTTTCTTTTAGTATCATATTGTGTTGTATCGATCTGGACAGCTGAACTTATTGTCATACCAAATCCTAACGTAAAAATGTATCTTTGGGTAAGATCTATTTCAGTGTGATGTCAACAATAATTCTGGAACAGACATACAAGCAATATTGAGGTTACCAAGAGCTAATAGTAATTCTCAAAATGTGTCATGTGTTTGTTTAAAAAAAAAAAAACATTAATACTCATTAAGCTTAACTTGGTGCAGTATTTGAGTCCCACACAAAGTCCCTACAGGGGCCACAAAGTTTGTCAAATCTTAATGAAGCATATCATATCGTGTCTCGTCGTGTTGTGTAGGATTGTATCATATCGTCTTTGTGTCATATTGTAGCATCAGATCACATAGTATCGTATCATATCATACTGTATGTTATTGTATTATATCATATCATGTATCTAACATATTGTATCATATAACTCAGTATATATACCATGTAGTAAAGAATCTAACCTTACCATAACGAATCACATTTATAGCACATATCAAATTTGTTTCTTATATCGTATTGTATTGTATCTACTTGGACTGCTGATGTTTTTCTTCGGCCAAACTAGTATTCATATTTATTTTATTAAGATTTGTGTAAGATCTATTTGCAGTGTTATTTAAACATTGTTTCTGGTACGGAGGGACAAGTAGTAATGAGGTTACCAGGAGACATTTTTAACTCGACTTGATGGGTTATCAATCAAAGTAAAAAAGATTGTTGAAAGCATTGCAACTTGATTTAGTGGATAACAGGCTGAAGTTGTCTTCCAACAATTAGTAGACTAGTATCAGTATTTAATGGCCAATGTTTAGTTGGTGTTATATAGTAATATTTAGTATGATATATATTTCTAGTATCTCTCAGTGACGTTGCTCAGTAAGCTCTTGTTTTCTGTTTCTAAGGTGAAGCTGAAGGAGGAGGATATCGCATTTGCACTGAAGTGCATTAAGAAGAAGCACATTGTGGACACCAGACAGCAGGAGCATATCTATTCTGAGAAAAACATTCTTCAGCTAACAAACTCAGTATTCATCATCAGGTGTGGGACACGCAAAACACACATTCAGGTTTCTTCAATCCACAAACAGCAATTATATGTATTTATGAGGAACCATATTGTGACTCTGCAATGTTATGTTCCGGTATTTAGTGTTTTTTCATAACCCTCTCTGGTGGGTGCATGTAGATGTTGAACAAAAGAGGTTAAAGAATGGGTAACTTAGCCAAAGGATCAATCCACAAAACCTCTTGTACTCTCACCAAGCAGATAAAACTGGGACTGGTCAGTGTGTTGGTTTCTCAGAGGAGTTGCTAAGGAACCTGCTGTGAGAATGCTGCTGACCACTGCACAGAGATTTATCTGGACTGTGACTCTAAGGAACAAAGCCTTGTTCAAGCAGTCTGTTGACTGTCAGTCCGAGAGAAAAGTTCAGCTCAAATGTGAAGTGCACTCCTGTAAATTCCAACTATACAACAGTTCTCCACTCACTTGATTTCTTTCCTATCAGTTCAGAGCTATTATATGCTCTGGTTTGTTTTTTCTATTGGTCTAAGTGTTAAAAAATCATATACATTCTGGTCTGTATTGGCTGTAAAGTTTAGGGTGAGATATATAGCCTGTATCTAAAGTCTTTAATGCAAAAGGCTGAAGCATTGGTAACATTAATTTGTAGCATTTCATCTCTATAGGCAAACTGTGATTTAGTGCAGAACAGTCTCAAACAAAGAGGCCCTTGTATTTGTGTTTCAGATTATTCCGAACATTTCGGGATGACAAATACGTCTACATGCTGCTGGAGGCGTGTCTTGGGGGAGAGCTGTGGACTGTGCTGCGGGACATGTGAGTGTAGGTCCTTTAGATACATTCATGAAAACTACCAATGAAACTATGTGGCTTCATATTTAAGGAGTGATTTAAGTACTCGCTTTAAAAGAAAACGTCTCACTGGCATCTGAGGTTGAAAGTTTCTAGTCTGTTGCCAACCACTGCAAACAGTGTACTCACACATCCATGAGTAAATAAAAGCTGTTGTCCAACAAAGACTTGATTTCCTCGTGCTCTTCACACGCTCTTTAAAGCTTAATAGAACCTTTTCATTGCTTTGGAAGCTGTTCAATGCTGCAGGGGTTGAATCTGGCAATTTCTTTAAAAGCTGGTTTATATTTCAGGTGTGGGGTCTTTTAAAACTAAACAATAATAGTTATTAGTGATGAACTGTCTGTAAGTGTAGAAGCTTAATCATACATCCATTGATCTGCAGACAAAAATGGTACACTTAACATGTCACACTGGAATGCTACAAAGTGAGTTGTTATCAAACCTTGTATGGGATACTTATTAGTAAACTGTGTGACATCCAAGAGAGGTCTTTCAGTTTGACTAAAGGACAAGACAATGGTATTCAGAGTGAATTACACCTGACTTTAGCTAAAACTCTAGAGGGGTATGCAAAGTAGTTTAGCCAAATTTAAAAACTTTCTGAGTCATGAGTATCAAAAACAAAGAGGAGGACCCACATGCATAACTAAACCAAAGATGTACAAAAATGCAAAAGTCAAAAACAAAAGCTTACTTTTTTAAAATGTCCTAACAAAAGTCCATCAAAATAAAAATCCAATTGAAGAAATAACAGAGTCAAGAGGAGAATCCACAGCACAGAAACACGAGCGGAAGATGAAATTAACTAATAATATTAATAACAATAGCTACGATTTCAAAAAGATAATTTTACTGCCCCTTGCAGAAACCAAAAAAGCAAACAGTTTAGTCCATGCTATGACTTTACTATGCTGAGCATTGTCATGACTGTCAGTGTTTATAACTGCATTTATTTATTCTATTAATAACAGGGATAGTTTGAAATTAAAGGTTTTTCCTTAAAAGAAAATACAATTAATGAACCCTAAGTTGTGACTAGTCTGCTCTTTGTAGATGCACTGAATACATCATGTTAGTGATTGTTGGTCTCTTTGTAACCTGACAGGAGTTGTTTTGATGATGCCACAGCCAGGTTCTGTACCGGTTGTGTCTTAGAGGCTTTCGATTACCTCCACACTATGGGCATCGTCTACAGAGACCTCAAACCTGAAAACCTTCTACTGGATGCTGAGGGCTATGTCAAAATGGTAAGCCACTTTTCTAAATATTAGTTGCACTGATGTACTTCATATGAGTGTTATTTATTCTGTATCTATCTTAATGAAAAATGTTGTTATTCATCTGCTTTTCCTCAGGCAGACTTTGGCTTTGCTAAAAAAATTGGCCGTGGAAAGAAGACCTGGACTTTTTGTGGTACTCCAGAGTATGTGGCCCCAGAGGTCATCCTGAGCAAAGGCCATGACTTTGGAGCTGATTGCTGGTCTTTAGGAATCCTCATATTCGAACTGCTGACTGGCAAGTAAGTAAGAAAAGTGGCTGCTTTTCACAGTCTTGGCTGGTTGGATGGAATTTAAAGGTTATTGGCAGGTGTGATGTGAATGTACAATAGAGTGTCATCAGCGTAGCAGTTTAAACAAATATGACCAAGGGAATACATTGAGGATGAGCAATACGCTGTATAAACACTGCACCTGAGGTAACCCAATGGTTAACAGCATTGAATAAAAAAACAACTTTTTCCTGTGGGTGAGGTACTAGTGAGGACCACCTTATGGTCATTTAGCTCCACAGTCAGATACATAAACTTCCCAGTCTGTGTTAGGTATTTGAACTATTGATTCTGTTGTACAGGCTTACCACTGCTACAGATGATGGATTATCTTGGTTCCTTTTTCAGAGCATATTAATTACTAATTCTGTCTGGACCTTAAGACAATTTCAATCAAAATATTAAAAACTATATCTGGAGAAAATAACCAACCATGCTGTTTAACTGTGTTGTCTGGACTTTTATCTTTGCAATGAATAAGAAATGTAAAGGCCTGTTTGTCCTTCAGTCCACCCTTTACTGGCTCAGACCCCATAAAGATTTACACCATGGTCCTCCATGGCATTGAGAAGGTGGACTTCCCCAAGAGAATAGGCAAGCGTCCAGATGACCTCATCAGGAGACTCTGCAAGTACGGTGAATCAGAAAGTGCAATCAGATCTGAGATAATAAAGCTTGGTGGCTGTTCATTTATACAGATAATGAGTGAATTATTTAGCATTAAGTAGTGTGGAGCAGACCAGGCAGTGTTGTTAACTGATAATTTTATTATAATGTTGTTAAACCAGAGCTAAGTACAACTGTCACAGTGATGTTGTTTGTTTATATTCGTCATACTGTAATCAGACATGTGGCAGCAGCTAATTGTGTTTGGTGGTGGTGCTGCTACTCTATGGCTTATTAAGCAATGTTTTAGACTAATTTAATCTAGTTTGTGCGCTAGTTTCCCCTCTGCTTGTTTTCAAACAGAACACCTCAAGGTTTATCAAGCCTTGAAAAGTAATATAGTATTTTTCCCCTTCAGACTCAACCCAGTAGAGAGGCTGGGAAACAAAAAGAATGGCATCATTGACATCAAAAAACACAAGTAAGTGTACTTTCTATTTTTAATCAGCCCTTTTTCTAAGCTGTTCCTTTTTCCCCTTTAATTTAAGTTTTAAACTATAAAAAACTCCAAAGTACTGATATGACCACTTTAGTTCTAATCCTAACTGTACTTAACATACATTTAGTTTTCTGATCACTCAAAGCACTTTCTATTGATAATGTTATCTGGTGATGTTCTAAATAGAAGTGTATGGGTGTGCTGCTTGTTAAAATGAGCCGGCTAAGATGCAGATTTGGTTAGCAGGCACCATAGACTGTAAATATTAACTTTTCAAAACCCAACAGCCAGAACTATTGGCCTGTCCATTGAGTTGTTTTGTGGTGAATACATATAGAAGGAGAATTTTAAAAAGAAAGATAAATGATACAAAATATACTATACTATACTATATATAATATATATATAATATAAAGTACATGAAATGTGAAAAAAGAGGTGTACATACTGTTCCACAAGTGTGCAAATGTTCACAGGATAAGGAATATGTGAAAATCATGTAATCATGCTATCTGTTTATGTGCAATAGTGGAGAATGAATCTTTGCAGTGTCAAATAAAATATTTTTTTGTGTGTCCTCATATTGTAGATGGTTCCAGGGCTTTAACTGGGAGGGTCTGAGGCGCCACAAGCTGCTGTCTCCACTTAGGAGAGAAGTGCGTATGACCGTTGACCAACTTCAGAGAAGTACAGACAGCATGCTGGAGTGAAAACTTGAAAACTCTCCACAGAGAGAAAAAAACAATGAAACAAAAAAACAAAGAAAGGAACAGTAAATGAAAACAAAAACAAAAGGAAAGGAAAACTAGAAAATATTAGTACTCTTTACTAATAAAGACAGAATAAGCACATTGTTATCCAATGTGACAATTAATAAAATTATTACATTTCCTCATACTGATATTTTAAACATGTGGGAGTTTAAGAAAAATATAGGTGGACTATACTTTCTGTTTGCATATTAGTAGTTATAAATGCCCATTGTGTCTTATTCAGATTCATAGCTATCAGTTAGATCTAGGCTTAAATAACTGAACAGTACCTAAAAACACAAGTCGGTGTGGTTAAGTTTGGCTTGGAGCTTATTTATTATTATCATACCTTCATTTAAGTTAATCAGTTCATTTTGCATTGACAGAACATATAGAGATTTCTGACTTTTCAGACTTTCAGTGTATTTGGTATTTGGTGGCTCTACCAGTTGTTATCATGATGAGGCTGTGCACTGATAAAAGAAAATCCTGCTCTGCCAGTGAGGATGTTGAGAATGACCCCATACAGACAAATGTAATGATTTCATGATGATTTTCTTTGTCCACAGCTGAAGGGGCCGCTGGATCACAGTCATTTTGATATTTTTCCTCCTGAGACAGAGGAGCCTCCTGATGAGCTGTCCGGCTGGGATAAAGACTTCTGAGGACTCTGTCCATGTTGGAAGGACAGAGGACCTGGCAAAACAAACTCCTCTTTGGCTTTTCTCTGTCACTCCAAGTGAAGCACATCCCCATTAATGAGACAGCACAGGTAATGGTGAATGGAGTTGAGCTTTCTAGTCTTCTGACTACTCAAAGCGCTTTTGCACCGTAAGTCATACACATTCACACACTGATGATAGAGGTTGTTATATTAAGTGTCCATCAGTATTGACAAATCCCATTCATACACATTCACATGCATCCAATGAAGCAAGCTTGCAGCTTGAAAGAGCTTCTTTTGGTTAAGTGTCTTGCCCAACTTCACATCGGAAATGCGGATGCAGGAGCTGGGGATCAAACCCCAGACCTTCCAGTTGAGAGAAAAGCAACCCTGCCACTCCCAGGTGACCTGCATTCAGGGAAGTTATTGTCATCCTGCAAAATTTAAATACTCTTTAAGAAACTTTTCTCCTGCAGAGACATATTGCCAAAACCTTACGGTAGCTGGGTTTACTTCTGGGTATGAAAAAGGGCTTCTGTAGGTACAACTGCAAGTCAGTTTCAAATCATTAACACTGAAGTTTCTGTATAACACAAAGTAGGAGGAGCCCTCACTGTACACTCAGCCCAGACTTTTAATATGTGGCTATGTGATGGTGATCATCTTCCAAATCTTCCACAAGCATGTACATTCCTGATATATGCCCTGAAAGTGCTGTGGTGAGACAGAGTCTGTCTTTTTTGTGCTATTTGGTGCACAAGGTTAATTCCCCAATCTTACCTACCAGGGCCAGCAATTGGCCCAAAAGAACTTAAGAACATTTTAGCACATTGCAAGTTTGTCTGGCTCCATTATGCCTGTTTTGATCCATTATTATCATGAAACAGAGGCAGAAGCTATGTGTGGTTGTATATGGTCAATGCAGTGGAAAAGGGCTACATTTGGTAACACAAGACTGTACCAGTTTATAGAAAAACATTTTAATGTTGTGAAATATATTTTCCATTTCTTAATTGTAGTAATTTTTTATCTAGATAAGAGTACTAATGTAGTCCATTTTATTATGTCCACTTGGTAAATGGAAAATGGACTTGAGCTTGTATGGCACCTTTTTTAGTCTTCTGACAACTCTGAGCACTTTTACACAGCTACCCATTCATTTCACACACATTCACACACTGATGGCAGAGGCTGCTATGTGAAGTGTCCATCAGTATTAACTAATCCATTCATACCAATAACACACACAACGACGACGAAGCAGCAGAAGCAACTTGGGGTTACTCAAAGACACATCGGACATGGTTCTACAGGAGCTGGGGATTGAACCCCCAACCTTCAAGTAGAAAGACAACGGACTCTACCACTGAGCCACAGCTGCCTCTGATGCACTGTAATATGATCCAGTCTCGTTCTGTCTACTCACAAGCTTTATCTAATAAAAATACTTTGGAATCAAACCTGTCAACTGACAAATTTACAAACCTGTTGATCCATGCTGATTATGATAAACCTATTTGGTATATCATTTGTTGTGGTTGCTGTGAAAATGTTATAATTACATTCATTATGCAGAATATTAGTGATGTTGACATTGTTTAACCCAAACTTCAATATTGTTTCTCCATACTGAACTTCATAGGTTCCCAGTCAATAAAGTATTAAAAAAACTTCTTTTTATACTTAATGGTTACTCACTCCTTTCAATAGTTTTGTTTTTCTTCAATGAAGCCTTCATGCTCAAGCATTAGCATGAACTTTAAAGTATATTGTTGATTCATGGAAAAAATGTTTTTACTATGAATTTCTTGAACAGGTTGAACCTTTAAATGTCTATCTCATCCTATTGCACAAAGCTCTGTCTGTTAAAGTGTAATGTTCCAACATCATGATAACTTTTTTTAAGGAGGCATTCTGGTCTAAACTGCGGCACAATAAAGCACGTCATGGCTTCAATTTGTAAATCAGTCATAATTTTCCAAAACACCGGAGTTTTAGTTTGAAGTTTTAATGATGTATCATAATGTGCTTACAAGATTTACAAAGTATAATTCTTTGAAGAAAAACATTTCATACTGTCACATAAAATGTGTCATTTAGAGATACTTCCGGGGCAAAAAATATTCAGGGCTACAGAGACGACCAACACAGTAAACTGAGCCAGAGCTCAAAATGGGCCAGTACTCATTGTTACTCAATACTGTTTATTTGACAATTTAGCCCTTTTAACCCATCTGTAATTAATTCAAAAATCGTTCTTGGTATCTATGTCTCACAAATCTAGAAAAGTTGCTGTTTCTCTACGTAAACCTGGAAGTAAGGAATTGTAGACTATGTTTTAAAGTGCTGTTGCCTCACAGCAAGAAGGTTTCTGGTTCAAATCCCCATCAGACAGGGCCTCTGTGTGGAGTTTGCATGTTCTCCCCATGCATGTGTGGGTTCTCTCTGGGTTCTCCGACTTCCTCCCACAGTCCAAAGACATGCTCGTTAGGTTTATTTTTGACACTACATTGCCTGCAAGTGTGAATGTGAGTGTGGCTGGTTGTCTGTCTCTATTTGTCAGCCCTGTGATTGAATGACGATCAACGACAGCTGACAGCCACCCGCGAACCGCGGGGACTAGGAAAATTAGTATAGATAAAGCATGACTTGCTTCAGGATGATGGATGCATGTTTTTAAGTAAAATTCTGTTGTTGTTGTTGTTGTTTTTTTTGTGGGGGACCTTGGACTCCTTTAAAAAGCAGCTCACTGGTTTTTGATAAATATGGTATCAAATTACCTATTCAGGTAAAGTTGGTTGAAAAATACCGTGACCAGCTGTATACCTGGAAACTTGTAAGCTGTTATTACAAATGTTCATCTTCTGTAGGAAACATTGGATTTGGAGTGTAAAGGAACAGACAGTGAAAGCATTTTAAACACAATAACACATTGTTCATGTTTTTTATATCAGGGAAGAATCAAAGTATGTGCTTCACTGAGTCTGTCTCAAGCTCAATCTGACATTATACAACAGTGTCTACAGACTGAGTGGTACCTCCTTTGTCCATTTATGTTGATGTGTGACATCAATGGAGTTATTCCTCAATGTATCTATAATAGTTAGACACAGGAAATACTAATAGTCATCAGTATTCATGTATTTGAAAGCTTATATTATACAACTTGAGTTTGTGAGAGTTCAATTGAATTCCCTTCCTGCTCTTTTTTATGTCTGTGTATAATTGAAGAAGAAACTGATCTGGCTTTAAGTTGTTTGCTCTGCGCTCTGTGTTTGTCTCTCAATCCGTTTCCCTCTGGCAGATTGAGCTCAAGTGCTCCTCCATCCTCTATTGCCATGGCAACGTTAGTGACTTCCAACAACACAGAGGTATGATTGGCATTAAGTGGCAACAGTTTTAATGCCAGTGTCTAATGTAGTGAAACCATTGGTTATAATGACTACTTAAAGAGGACAGAACTCCTCAGAGCACAGAGTTAGAGAAAGCAAGCATACTCATATGGGAGGGGGGGGCATCAGCCTGTGTGATGTATAGAACTATACTGAAACACAACGAACTTGACACAGCTTTAAACCATATCTGTTTTTGTACTATTAAAGTTTCTTCATTGCAATCCTTAACGTTTTTTATCCTGGTTCATACACTGATGGATGATACGTCTCCTACACCTATGGTGATAGGTGATCTGTCAGTTCGAAGGTACCTAGGAGATGGAGACAATGAATTGGCCCTTCTGCTTACCAAAGCAGACATTTAACTAAAGCTATCCATAAAAATAAAAAAAACATCTGCTTTTTTTATCGCACTACAAATTATCTGAAGCTAAAGTACATAAGAATAATGAATACCTGGATTGAAATCAGCTTAAAAAATGACTTACTATCATGACTGCAGATTTGACAAAAGTGTATTCAACATGTATTTTAATTTAAAGTTTTATCCATGGCTCATCTGCTATCATATAGGAGGCAGGGTTTATGACCTATACTGCAGCAAGAATATGGGGGGAGCTCTAAATCTTTTGGCTTGACTTCCGGTGGTTTCATCCATCTTTCTATGCAGTCGAACATATTCTAGTTTTGTTTTTAAAAGTTCTGTATATATTTTTTTAATTGTGAGTATTGGATTGGAGTATAGGTTTATCTGTTCAGAAAGGGTCTCTGTCTCACCAGATTATGTCGATGGTTTTTATCCGATGTTCACAGCCCGATGATATTGTTCATTTAGTCTCTTTTCCTAGGTCCTTGCTCTTTATGCTGACTTTTCCACCACGCATGGCATGGTTGAACAACATCTGCTACTAACAATGTTAATGTAATGTTTTATAGCTTTGCTTTGGTGACATTCTGAAGAACACTTACTGTAATAACAGACCATTATTTAGAGCTGAGAGAAAGTTTTGCAATATTCTTCCTCTACTGCATGTGCAGCAGTGGGTGTAATCATTCCGTGGGTTATCAAATTTGAATGCGTCGCTCACATTTCTCTTCTCTGTCTGAAGGAGGATACTGGCAAACAGTCTGCTTGTTGATCTCACTCCAGAGTGAGACATAAAAGTGTTTGTTCAGAGTTTAACTTTTGCACAGAGGTTTCTGACTGTTTTTAGTTCAAATCATGAGGTTATAGAGGATACATAAGGAAAAGTGTAAAGCTCACAGGGGTGAATGTTTATGTTTATATATAAAGAAAGGCTCTGCATCAAACAAAATGTTGAAAGGTAGTTTCAATAAAAATGACTCTTCAGCTGTTAAAAGTAATTTAAGATTAGGAATGAAAACAGGCATGACAGAGCAGACTACTCGTGATTAATAAAAAATTACAAACAAAGATTTTTCAGTCTGCACTGGATGGCAGCTTGAAGACAGTTGTTTAACTGTCAAATGATGAATAAAGGAGAATTATCAACCTGCAGGACTTTACATGTACACATGCATGTTGCATAATATCCTTGTTGTGTTTTTAAGTTTGTTAATCATGAACAGCAAAGTCATTGTTTCCTGATCCCATTGATGCTTTGATGGAGCTGTGATCAGATTTATGGCCATAAACCTGCTGTAGTTTACAAACTATATACATGTTTTTTATGTGAATAGCTCCCTACCATTTATAGCTGATTTTATTTTAAGAAAGTTTTATGAAGTTTAGAAACTTCCCATGTGGAATAGGTGTTATAACTTCACATAATTATCCACCTACATATTATTATAAATCATTTGTGATATCAGTTATTGTGTCAAAATTAAATCTGTTGTGGCGCTGGGGGTACGCCCCACGTATGGAGGCTGTAGTCTTCCAAGCGAGCAGTCTGGGTTTGAATCTGGCCTGTGGCTCATTTCCTGAATATCGTTCCCCACTCTCTCTCTCCCTGATTTCCATCTCTATCCACTGTCCTGTCACTCCATCAAAGGCACAGAAAGCCAAAAAATAAATCTTAAAAAAAAAAAAATTAAATCTGTATAAATCAGACATACCTTCTTCCTCTGTTAACACTGATGTTACTGTAATACTGACGTTATTTCTGGATTCTGTGATGGAAAAACGAAGGCTCCCTCCAGTGGTTTCAGTCATTAACAACAACATAAATAAACGTGATAAGACATGGCTCGTGTCAACATCATTTTAGAGTCTTAACAACAGTGACAAAACAGTCAATGAAATATGAATGGTGACTGTTAATATTTACACGTATAATATTTTGAGTGAAGAGGTGCTTGTCATTTCTATGCGTCATAACTTCCATTGCCCCTGAACAAAGCCCTGGCCTCAGTTGATACAAGGCTGCAGCTCTGTGGGGCCCTAAAGGGCTCCTTTAGAGGTGAGGCTCCAACCGTTTAATAGACCCTTTTTTCTTAAAAAATTAAGGTTTTTGTTTGTAGTTACTTATTGTCACCACCTGAGGCCGCTCAAGGCCGGGGAACATTTCATGTGTTCACAGCAGTTACCAACAGGCAAAGCGAGCCTGAATCATGATCTGAGCCACAAACATAAATTGACCTTACTGTGTGTGTTTTTACTGTTGTTTAAATGTACAGTTTATGAAAAGCATAGATGTTTTCTATGTCAAATATTTTGAGAAAGGCCACAGAATTCATAAAGCTCTGTAATTATAGTCGTTCATGTCAACATAAAACAGCATTTGCACTTTCTGTCGACCATGTAGAGCTTCTTTACTTAATAAAATATAATCAATATGCAGGTAACCATGTCTTACAATATCACTGTTCATTATTGAAAAGCTCCCTGAACTTGTAAAAGATGACAATACGTAATGGAAACACAAATTAGATTGATTGTTTGTTTGCTGGTTGGTTGGTTTTCTATTCATCCTGAAGCAAGTCACGCATTATTTGTTTCTAAGTATTAGTGTCTACAAAAGAACTAACATGGCAAGTTTAGCATTGTAACAGAGGGTGTGAGTTCTTGTGCGAAAATATGCCCAAAGTAGTACATTCATTTTAGAAATATGTAATATATAATTTACAAGCCCATCGTAGTTTGGACAGATGACTGTTCATTATGGGTCTGGTTTTCTGGAGGTTTCTGCTTCTTGAAAGAAGTTTTTCCTTGCCACTGTAACTTTGTTAAATATTGTTTATTGCTCATAATAGAATCATCTTGGGTCAAAGAGTAAGGTCTTTTACCTGCTTTTTGTAAACATTTGTTATCAATTGGTGCTAAACAAATGAAGATTCATTAATATTCACAAGAAGCTTAATATACTTACTCATTAGGAGGGAGTAACCTCTGACTCCTTGTATTGGTTTGTTTTAGCCTCAGTGTTTGTGATTTTATTCTGTTTTATTGAATTCGCTTTATTGTCATGATAGTTGACATGTTGCTTGAGGACAGTAACTATTGTGGAAATGTAAAGATAAGAATGAAATGAACACAAAAATGTAGGAAAATCTACTAATCTAACATTCAATGACATGTACATGTCTACTTTTCATTGA